TAGCTTTTCCTTTGCTCTATCTAGACCACCAAGAAATGAGGGAGGCACAGAAATCCCATTGCATTAATAGTCTCGGTGTTTACGGTTTGGGCTTTTATTAACTTGTGGGAGCTGTTTATTGAGCCATAAACTCTACTAATGGGGATATTATCTCTAAATTATATAAGTGCTACAGTATTTTGGTTAGTTAAAAGAAAGGTTTAAAACAGTTACATACTTACAGTTTATCTCAATTACCAACATGATCCCATAATGGGAATTTAATTGCTAATTGCTAGCTTATATTGCAAAAGAACTACAGTAACAACACACAATATATAGCCTGCGTAAACATGTCCAGACAATTCCATATTACCTCCTTTCGCTGCTACCTTCTCATATGGTGGTGGGGGGGGGGAGGGTTATTATCGTGATTTAATTCCTAACTGCCTCAAATTCGGAATCCCTCTTTGTCAGGAAGCATTCCCACCCGTGCTTCGTTAGACCGATTCTGGCAAGCCTCCTGCACGCCCTTGACTGGCTTTACACAAAAGGGGCAGACCTATGCATACGCTGAAATATCTCACTAAATTAGATTCTCGGAGAGCTCTAACCAGAGAAATCCCATTTTCATTGAAATCAACCCAAGTTTTCCTGTTTACGTAACTGGAGCGAAATCCGACCGAGGCCCACTGGCCAGAGCCAAGCTCACTGAGGACAGTGGGGTCAGCTTAAACCCCGCTTAAACCTCATACTAATACAGGGGAGGCTGCAATCCAATTGTTGTAGCAGTTCTGTAAAAGGTCTTCCTTGTGTCTCTCAAGAAGATTACAGTCTTCTAAAAGATTTGTCTTTGAAAGTGGGAGCTCTCTGAAGCAGGGTTAAGCAATATGATTAATTTATGCTGTTACAGATCATCCTACCCTGTTCCTTGTCTGAGATCAGCATCAGGTTTCAGAGTTCATGAATCAGCTCCTTCGCTTCTCTTTGTTCGTAGGACATATTATGAATCTAGTCTGATGGAAGAGGAGAGCAAAGAGGATGGATGGCTAGGCTGAAGAGCAGATGAGGATAGCTAGTTTATGTATGCGTGATACAGACCAGAAGAAAACTCCAGGTGATTCAGAAATGCCCAACTGTGCAGAGAAAGAGTTTATACGATCAATCTATAACACATTATACCTACTAACTTCATCTTCTTGGTTATTGCTTGGTCATTGGCTTTAAACTTTACTTTGGAAATAGGCAGGGATATGGACTTGTGCCCAAAACTCTGGCTGGCTTGTTTGGCCACTGCCTAAAACCAGAGTACTGTTTCTGTCTGGGTTAAATTAAACCAACCAAATTAAACAACATCAAGAAATTAATTAAGAGAAAATAGTAACTTGCAAAAGTTTTTGGTTTTGTTTTTCAAGACATTCTTTCTCAAGCATTATCTATTCTGTCCTCTAAAATCTAAAAAAAAATAATAATAAAAAAAAAAATCAAAGTCAGATTGAGCTCAGATCACAGCATTTTCTTCCTCCTGATATTCTCACTTCTTTCTTCCCAAACATGCTACCGTTTTGTTGTTCCCATTGTATTTGGGCTTGCTGCACCCTTGGCTGAGCCAGAAGAGGCAGAAACATCCTGTAAGCATGCAGTGGATACATTGCTGAGGGAACGGGACATTACTACTTAAAGAACTAATCTGTCTCTCCACACCACTGAATAACTTATACTGGACTACGAGATATTCAAGCACTGGTAATTTTTTCTCGTCTCAAACCATGGGAACATACAGAAGGCTCCAGAAGTCAAGAGGCTAGTGAATTTTTATGAGTGGTATATGGACTGCTGTTCTCTGAATACTGCCAAGTGATTGAAAACTCTCATTATTTTGGTTATTGTGGAATTGGGATCCCTGCAGTTTGCACAAGGAAAATCAGCCTTTTGGGAGGGAGCAGAAGCATTTCCTGGGCTACGACAGTGAGAGCAGACTTAGTATTCAGCAGAGCCTTTTTTTTTTTTTTTTTTCTGAAGAGCTTTCCTGCTGTGAAGTAGGATCAAATCCCATCGACACACGAGGTACAAATGCAGAAGTAGGCTTTCAGCATCTTTTCATTCATGTAAATGAAAAAGACCTGATCTGTCTGATGCCAGTATGAATGACTCTGTCTAGGAGAATATACTTGGGGCAGGACACAGACAAATATTGCTTTCTGAGGAACTTTATTTCTGTCTGCAGTAGGTTCTGTTGTCTGTTGCCTGTATGATTGTCTGTTGGCTGCTTGGATCTACCATGTCTGAGGGACCCACCTGCTGGTGAGCCGAGCAGGCTCTCTTACTTGGACACGAGCAGAAGCTGGTGCAAGGCTGCAGGCTAACTGCACCACCTGCACACAAGGACAGGTCCTCATTGCTGTTCACAGCCAGTCACTTGCTTGTTGCAGCAGCTATTCCAGAGAAGTTTAAGCTTTTTATTCTCAAACGCCAAGTTGAGGAAATAAAAATTAACATCAAACACATCCCAGTAGTTAGATGGGGAGCCAGTACCGTAACGTGAATCTCTTCGCTCCTGCCATGGACAGCACAGATACTTGTGGAAAGAAGATATCTTTGGCTCCCCTACAGAGATCGAGAGCTGAGATTAATGGCAACTGTGAGGGCTGCCTTCCCCTTTATGCGATGCATGCTTTAAAGCTGTGGCCTCCTGCCATCTTGAAACATAATCTTGCGGTATTGTCTTCATTCAGGCCCCTCATCAGCAATGTGAAAAGAGAGAAGAAGCTGGTGGCAGGATTAGAAGAGAGGCTGAAATATTCTGGGCAGCACATGCTGCAAGTCACATTATACAAAGAGTATTATTGGACTGATCATTGGATGGGGCTTTTCCTTCTGGAAGCACTGCTGCTTGTAAAAAAGAAACCCTGGTGAAATGTGTTTATTACACATCAGATCACAGCATATGACACTTTGTGAGCACAGTGACAAGCACTGAAAATATTTTTCAGGTCCTGTCTGCTCCACTTGAGATCCTTTTGTACTCATCAGGGTTATGAGAAAAGAGGAGATGAGAAGTAGGAAGAAGAATTCAGAAGGGTATGAATAAAACTGAGTATCAACAGCAAATACTGAAACAACAGAAATCAGATAATCCTCTATTCTTTAAAAAAAAATAAAATGCTTTGCCTCATTCCATGGGCTCAGACCAGGAGGAGTTTTTTGATACCAGATACAGTCCTCACTCTTACAGGCAACACACCCTATAATTAGTCTTATCAGATTATCCACCTCAATGTTAAAACTAACTGGGTATTTTGCTCCTGGAAGATTGTTTGAGACTCTTACTATATTAGAAGGTAGAAACCTTCTTTTGTTGTCCAGTTTAAAATTATTTGTGGCAAACCATAACTAGGTTTTTCTTAGGCGATCCAAGTCCGTAACTGAAAGATTATTTTCCTTGCCTGGCATACACACCCATAATGAATACACAAAGAACAGCCATATTCTTTTTGAGCCTTCATTTCATTTGCCTAAATAATCCATACTCCTTCAGCCTTCTTTCTTATTTCCATTTTACTGGTCACCTGTCTAGTTCTTCTCTGCGCTGGTTCCAGTTTGCAGTTGCCTTTCTTGGCCATGACCAGATCAGACTAGACCATGATTGACAAAACCTATACACAGGGTTCCAAACAAAATGATATGAAATTATATTTGTTATGCTATTTTTTTGTTTTAAATCCAAAAGGGCTCCTCTTCATACTATGCATATTAAGAAAAACAAAGTCAAGTAAATTTGCTGCTTCTAAAAGCTACTTGGGAAGTTCTAAATGTTCAGGGTCATTCTTCCTTGGAAACCATCAGCTGAGCAAGTTTTCTACAACTGAAAGATATCCTTCTGAAGTCTGGTGAACACTACAAATTTACAAGGGCAATAGCATTCATTTAAAGTGTCAAGCTCAGTTGTGGTGGCATGTTTAAAAAACCTTCAGCTTTCATCAAACTGGCTTCAAACACAAGTTGTTATTATTTTGGCTCCTGATACTATCTCCATGGTCAGATGATTTTCTTGTCATGTAAGCAACTATTTTCCTCTTTTGGATCAAAAGCAGTACACGGTTGTCTACAAAAGCTTGTCTACAGCTTGGAACAAAATTTCACAGTTTTCTTTTTGACCCTCTGGACACAGACCATCACTAATTCATTTTATTGCAAACACCTTCCTAAGTAGCAGCAACACACATAATTAGGCCTTGTCTCAAGTCCTTTTTTGCTAACAGAAAAGGTAAGAAGCTGCCAAAAGCTTCTTGTGTTGCCATATGGCGTGAAAAAAATTTCTTCTCAGGAACTGAAGGGCTAGAGAGAAGACATACAATTAGAAACTTCATTTACACAGCCACACAAAAGTGCAGCAAGATGTTTCTAAAATGGAATCATAAATCTAAAAAGGATCTCAAGTTTCAAAAAAACATACAGACTGACTGAATTAAATTATTATTTGAACTAGTGTCTTGCCCTCGGTTAGGGGATTTAAATACGCTCAGTTCTCATCTTCTTAAATCAAACACTTTCTCACCAAATTGCTATTTCAGATTACAGAAAGCACAGGCTTCTCAGTCTAGTGAGGCTGTGAGCTTCCCAGCAGCGGGCAGAGGTACACTATCTCATGCCTCTTCCCCTTCACCTATGGAATCACCATGGATGAATCAGCTCCCCCCTTCACTGCAGCTCTTGCATTCTTTAAACGGAGGTAATTACTTCTCTTGCAAGCACACGCAGTAAATTGAGATCTAACCACAGCTTTGAGCTGGCACAAGCTTAGAAAAGATACAAAAATGGTAACTGGAGCTCCATTTAGTCTTCACAATTTTGAGCAAAGAGAAAGCTATCGATATTCGAAGGGCAAGTCCAGTGCTACCAGAGGAAAGATGCTGATGATACCAAAATACATGTACCTTCTCCTCACTCATTTCACCTGAGTAAAATTGGATGGTTGCTAATCTGAGTCATATTTAAGACAAAAAGCAAGAGCTGATAGCTTCTTGCCTGCCAGATATTTACTTCCACATTGGTAGGTTATAATTATCTCTGATAACAGAGCAACTTCATACCGTGCTAAAACTACACAACTATGTCCACCATAAAATAATAAACTTTGACACAAACAGCACTTAAACATCACCATAGAGATATAGGAAAACAGATTGGTATAAGCTAAAATGCAAGAGAGGAAATTTGAACAGAATTATATAATTGTGCTAATTTTAGGCTAATTGGCCGAATATTATATGAGGTCACCCAACAACCTGTTTTGTTTGCAGAACAAAATAGGGTCAGTCGTATTTTGCTGTGTTTGACTCATATATTCCTTGGTATTTGCATGTTCTCCATATGACCAGGCACAAAGTTCACAGGATAGTTTTAACCACGCTTGTATGAGTACAAAAGAGTACCGTTGATTTAGGAGTTAAAAAATACACAAAGATACATATATGTTAGAATAAGAAACTAAGTGTAATAAAACCTACAGCCGATCTATTTTTGTTTTACAAGAAATATCTTCAGCAGCTAATAAGTTTTGGAGCTGAAACAGTAATCCAAAAGCTGTAACTTGTGCAAATCAAGTCATTCTTCCTTGCCAAACAGATCATCCAGAAGAGGCAAGTATTTGATTTTTTTAAAAGGAAGGGATGGTGGCTGTCCATTCCAGTCATCTTCATTCTGAAATCAGTAATACAGAGAACATCTTAGAATATAATATTGAAAACAGCAACAAATAAAAGCCAGTCAACATAAGATTGAATGTGCTGCTTAACTTGCAATTACAATCATTCTGTGAACACGTGGACCTATATAATATAGTGCATCTATATAATAATAATAATATAATAATAATATATAATAATATAGTGCACTATATAATATAGTGCATCCTCCTAAAACATTACTACATGCACATTTTTATCAATCTTGCAGAATATTTTATTGAACATATTGAGCACTTCTGCAGATATTTTCAAATCAAAGAACACTGTATTTTCTTCATTAAGACATTTATACTTGAAAACCTTACAAGTCAGCTATGCTTCAACACCAAAACCATACAAAATAATGACAGAGAGAAAGAAGAAAAGTCACCTAAGCAAGCACAATTCTGCTACTGGAATCTATTGATGAAATACAGATACTATAGCCTCAAAATATCACCATTAATTCAAAGTAAGTTAGGAACAGAATGACAATTGGGTTCTAAAGCTGGAAGATTCAACAAGATTTAAATCCTTTCCTTTCACTGATCTTTTCCAAGTCTTAGTATTTCTTCATTAAAATACTCGTGTATTGTACCGAAGACAGTCTAGGTATTGCAGCTAACTAACAGAATAATAAAGTCGATAAAAATGAATAAACAATACCGAAACTAATTTGGATGCAGTTCATTAAAAACAGCACTACATGTCACTGTGACAGTCAGAGCAAGGCTCTGGAGCCAACAAGGAACTGATTATCCCAGCATGCTGATGAATGATTATAATTACTCTTGATGCACCTTCTTCCTTTCTGGCCTCAGCTGTAACCTTCCTCCCCTAACTCCCATGTTCTGCTCTCAACTGGGGCTCTTAAGGATCAGCCACTCCCTGAAAGCCCATCCACTGACAATCTCCCAAGGTAAGATAACATCTCCTTCATACCCAAAGAAAACCACGTCTCTTACACTGATCAGAACATACATTTCACCACAGATGTCCACTCAACCTCCAGCTTGTTTCACAAGCACCTTGTCCTCTGTGCCTTCAACTTGTGAAGACCGCTTTTTGTGCCACCACCACTTGCACCCCACCTTCCCTGCATAGGAACCATCTCCTTCCCTCACCTGCCAGAAAGCAGCTCATGCTCAATGGCTAGATAAGCCATGCAGCTGTGAGGAGAAAAATGGTCAAACAGATTAAACAGCAACCATATCTGTGCAGATATCTGCTTCTTTCAGCCTTGATTTTTTGGTGCGGAGCTTAGCACCATCTTCAAGGCAAAAATCCTCAGGGCACAGGCTCTGACCTTTTTTTGCTTGCATAGTACTGAGGCCCATGAGGATCCTTATCCTGGCAGACTCTCCTGAGAGAAGGCACTGGTTAAATACCAAGTTATACATGTAGCTTAAAGATGGAATTACTCTGTAAAAACAAAGAATAGCCACTGAACACAACCTACTCTGTAAGAACCACAGGACTGCTGCATAAAACACGTGAAAGGGCTTTGATTTGATCTGATTTGTGCAAGGAAGAAAAAATTGTCTCAATCACAGAGTGAAAAAGAAACCACCAGAGAAAGCAGAGCGAAGCAGCAGCACAGGGCCCTGGTTAGACATCCCAGACAGTTTGAGATGCTTCAGAAGAAAGAGCTCGTAAGCCAATAAGAGAGAGCAGTCAGGTTAATAGCACAGTACTTGAGGAATATTGATTTAAAATATGTCACTGTTGAACTCAAATTCAAGGGAATGCCATGTTTCTAAGTGGTCTGAACACAATCAAACACATTCTGTACAAGCACAGCAACACATGGACTAGGCCAGAACAGCGAAACTACACGTTGGCAGAAGGGCTTCATATTTATCTGTTACAAGATTTTTAAAAATCAGCGTAATTGCCTTATGTACCATCTATTTTAAAATGTTCCGTTCAGCACAAGATGGCGAGATCAGATTAATCTCTGCAGTTTGTTGACACCACATTTTTATTTACCCTAAGTAGCAGGCTGGTGGAGATATACAAAGTTGATCCCTCAATACTGCTCCTGATTTACGCCTACCAGTGATGTGCTGTATTAAATACAAGTTTCCACAGAGTTATAAAATATATGTAGCTATTTTCTGTGGTGCCAGTGGTGTTTTAAGAATTTCTTGGCTATCCCAGCAACCAAACAGATCATTTGACATGTGGCAGAAATATTTGTGGGTGGCATGGTATTCACACCTATTGTTCAAGGACAAATACACCTGTTTTCCCCTCTTTTTTTTTTTTTTTTTTTTTCTTTCAGAAAAATGTCACAGAGATGTAACACCTACTAGGCACAGGTGGGTAGTGGATCTTCTATTCCCTGTGTGACTTCTCTGGTTCATTCTAAACCTCCCAGAAAAAGATAATTACGTAAAGAAAATAGTCACAAATATACTAAGATGAAAGCTGTTATTGGCTTTGTTGGACGAAGCACTCATGTTACAGTTGGCCAAAATGCAGGAGTATCTGAGGTGGTTGGCTGTGCTGTTCCTTTGCTCAAATATAGTGGTTTTACCTTGAGAGGAAGCCTTATTGTCTGGAATGCAGGTATTTGATTCTCTCTCCAGTTCAGCCCATCCAGAAATTTTTTATACTCCACTTGCTTATTGTCATCTTCAAACCTAAGCAGAACATCCACAAGATGACTCATGGTTAAATGAAAATCTTAACACAGTTATATCATGTTATCTACGACATACTAATACATTACTTTTTGGATAATCATTTTTCATTCCTTTAGAACCAAAGCCTGGTAAGAGTATGGAGAAACACTGCCAAACTGCCAGGCCTTGGTATTGTATGTTACATTCCATATACTTACTGCTCAATATTGTCTCTCATACTAGTATTCAATTCCCTTAAGGTTTAATTTTTAACCATTGCCCAACTTTTTCCAGAACTAGGATCCCACAGTTGGTGACAACCATGGAGCTAGGATGGTCGGTGTGTAATTCCTTTATGTAGAAAAGAAGCTGATAGTATGATACAAGAGAGATGTGCTTTAACACAATTGACCTGCTTTATACAGTTTCTATAATCATTTCCTGAAAATAAGCAATCTCTCAAATATGCTGTTTGTACACACCTTGGGATCAATTTACAATTGACAAACGTGCAGCTCTCTAACCTATAATTTAATAGCTAGATTTAACAATATCAATCCTTGTCATTTGGTAGTTGTTTTATGGTATTATTCTTTGTTTCCATGGAATAAATATATATGTTTGTGTCTGTTAGAAAGGTTCCCTAACTGAATGAAGAGATATAACCTGCCAGTTAGGTTCTACAGCTACTATTACACATGGAACATGCTACCTTCCTCCCTCAGATTTCTAAAATCATTACCCTGCCCTAATAAATGCATTGGAAGCATCTCTGTAAGCCATGCCATCCTTCTGCCATTTTTTTGAATGAAGGAGCTTCAGAAAAAAGAAAAAAAAGTCCTCGGTTCAGCAAAACACTTACTTGATTAAGGCATACAGAAATGTGCTGTTATTTGAGTGGGTCTTGTCAAATGCTTGAAAGATACTTGAATTCTGCAAGCTGAAGCACCTTGCAGAATTGACACTACCACGCAAATTGTTCTTGAAATGAACATCTTAACTGCTCTGCTATACATACATACTGCCTTAGCAGCTTCTGTGAATGACATCTGTCTCACTTAGCACTACCCACATGGAAAAGGGATCTGGTTTAGGCATCTAAGCACACACTGGGAGCATCTGTGCTTCACTGCTGTCCATGGAGAGACATATATGACTAGCTAGATTCAGTAAGTATTTTTTGGTGGCAAACATCAGGTTAAATAATTCTACCATGTAAGCCGGTGAGACAAATACTTCTGCACATGTAGGAGCCAGATCAATTACACACTGTCATCTCTGGAGAAACATGTTTTTTAGAAAATCATTTTATTCCGTTCTTGGAGAAATAGAACTGCACAAAATACAGGCCTCAAATCCCCTTGGTTCTCCAAATTACTGGAGAGGGTTCTGGTGAAAATTAAGCATGAAGGTACTTGAAGGAAGACTTCATAACACAAACTGGGAAAACAACACTGGGGAAGAGGAGAAATAAATCTAGTGACAAAAATAAACTGCAATAAACTGCAGCTCATCCTCTCCCTCTCCTCCCCCCACACCTTTCATTTAACAGTCAGCAGGAGAGATAATAATAAAATATACTGAGAGCCATAAACAGAGATGCTAGTGATAAACTGAAATGTTAAGTACAATGAGTTATGCTGAAGATGAAAGCACAGTCAGAGAAGAATGCTACTGTTACTAGAATTAAAGAGGAGCCTGAAACATTGCCATGAGAAAACCTATTGTGGCTTTCTTCTTTTTAATACCTCACATGCGAGTTAACATTTTCACAAAGCCTCACTTTTTTCTTTTTTTTTTTTTACTTTTTTTTTTTCAGGTGGCAATTGGGGAAACAGGAGTTTTGCATTGGAAGTAAGAAGACAAAAAAAAGCTCTTGTAAGAACAACTGGTGCACAGATTTTGAATTTCAGTACAATCATGACTATTTATTATTATTATTATTATTATTATTATTATTATTATTATTATTATTATTATTATTATTATTATTATTATTATTATTATTATATGCACTAGTGTATATGCATTTAGCTTTTGCTGGTTGCGAGAAGTCAAAAGATAAGGTCTACTGTCAAGATGCAGAGCTGCACAAGTAGGAGTTTTAAATAAAGAATAAGTGAAGGCGTGTAATTACTTCAGCATCAATTTTATGTTGAGGCAATGAAGTCATGGAAAAACATTGCTTCTGCATTTGACGAGCATTAACAAGGAGAAAAGTCCTTTGAACTGACAGCACTAGCAGACCGAGGCAACAACATGGACATGAAGTTAACTATAACCAAAGATTTTAAGGTGGGCATGGGAAATGGGACTCCTAAATCCCATATTTAAATAGCTACAGAAAGCAGCTTAATGTATTACACCAAAATAATCCAGAGGAGAAAAATCCACTCTTTAGATATTTTTCCTACTGTGTCTTATTGTGCTAATCTACTAAATGCACATACTTATAATTCGGTACAGAGTATCCAGATGGAATGAAGAGATGTTATCAAGTTCTGCATTATTAGGACAGAGATGTCATACATTTCAGAGGCTGGAATTAATATGACTGGAACTGACAGTGCTCTTCAGCAAAGGAAATTAGATTTGCCTTATCAAGAAGATGCAACAAAGATCTCTTGAAACTATGTTTCTCTTCAGTTTTGCCCTATGACTTCACCATTGCGTACAATTTTAGACTGTGGAAATCACTCCCTCATTCTTACCATTGTTTGCAGAGCTTCTTTTCCTTTTTGACATTACAGAGATAATCACACAGTTTTGCTCGTAAAAATATATTCATAATGGAGTATTTACTCCAGATACATGAAAAATCTATTTAATTCACATTAAGATTGTTCCTGAGGATGCTTCACTGAGTAAAGGCTACTTATAAATATATTTTCTTTCCCATCAAGAAATCTGCAACCCAAACATTCATGTAAAAAGATAATGTACATATGCATATTTTTACTTCCTTAGTTTTGAATAGCATTTGCTAAGTAGTTAATCTGATAACAGTAGAGGAGAGGCACTATGCTGCTTTAAGCTTAGAGAAAATGCTGCAATTCTTCAGCTGTTTGACAGTCCCTGTGTAACACTGGTATATATAAACACCTAAATTTTCATAAACTGTTCTTATGAAAAGATTTAAAATAGCAAACACAGACCAGTTTATGCAGCTGATCATTATCAGTTAAGTAATGGCTACCATCTTGTGCATCCATTTATTCTTGTCTTGAACAACTATAAATTGAACCATCACTTCCTCAAGATACTGAATAACAGAAATAATGTCTTTTAAGAGATCCGTATATTCATGCTGGAGTCTTTTAATCATAAATGGCAAAGTGAGTCTCAGGCATCAAAGGCAACAAGCAGAATAGAGAGTGTAGGAGAACGATCTCATGGCCGTTTCCAATTGCTGCTGCTACAAGGGCACTTGCCGGAGTAGGAAAAGAGGGTTACCTTCCTGAAAGAAACAGGTCAACCCTAAAAAATGTTAAAGGTTGGCAAGTAGGTAAAAAAATACATATATTACAGTGCCACAAGTCAGGGAAAAGCTGGACAGGGAGAAAAGGCTACCTGAGGCACTAGGAATTACCTTTTAAAAAAATAATATATATATATATATTTATATTTATATTTTTATATATATATATAGTACTTCTTCCCCACTGTCTGTGCTTCTACAGCTTAAAAACCATAAATGCCAGACTCTGAGACTCCACGGTCTAATAGACTGACCCTGCTCCTGTCAAGAGGAGAACTACAGAGCCAGTTTCAATAGAAATTAAAAGACTTATTTTAAAGTAGGGACATATGCTGAACAACTAAACTAAATTAATGCAGGATCATCCACATGCAATACTTGTAAACTTGTCATCCATGCCTTCTTCACACCATTTTTTCTTTTGTTATCTGCCAGCTGTTTATATACCCTCTGGGGAAAGGCTGTATCTTTTTAAGTTCTTGTTAGCATACATTTAGCATTGTAATAAATAAAAATATCGGGAAGGGGGGGAATCTAAATTCATTATTTCTGCATTTTTACAACATGTATTTATTAAACAAACCATAATTGTTCATTATACTTGCATAAATTAGAAGAAATGCTTATAATAAGCTACCTCAGTTTACTGGCAGAAGCAAGTGTGTACCATATGTATTGCTTAATACATTGTGATTAAAAATCTGTATTGTCCTGTAATTGAAAAACTATGTGAAATAATGCTGATGGAGAGAGGAAATATCTTTTAATAAGACAGCTCAGTGAACTGCAATAGTGGACACCCTGTTAGGTACCCAAATCCTACTATTTCACCATCCCACAATTGAAAATATAAATTTTCTCTAGACAGACAATTTAAAAGGGTCTTGCAAAATCTCACAGTCTTTGTGCTAATTCTCCCTGTTCTTTATGGAAACTGAATGCTCCTCTGTTAGAGTAAACAAAGTCCTGGATCATCTAGAGGTGACTGCAAAATTAGACAGTAACTTCTAGTTCTGTCCTGTGCTTTTAATAAGTGACAGATCATTGTGGTGTAATTTGAAAATGTAAATAGTAAATATTTTAAGGACATTACCTTTTAAAATGGAAAAATAGAACCATTAACTCCTACTGAAAGTCTTTGCCACCTAATCTCAGATAGCAAAGCTGAATAAACATATAGGTCCAGTCTTCAACCATTATCTGATCCACATCGTCTACGATCATTTTATAGCTGAATAGGGTCCAGCTAGTGCATTAGCTATATATACTGATTCTGTGGGAATCAGTCCAACAACTTTTATTGTACTGCTTTCTTCCATCATAAATTTGGATACATACATTAGGAATGCTACCACTGCTTCCTTCAGAAGGCATCAATGGACACAAAGGGGACAAAATTACAAACTTTGTCATCAAAAAAAAAAAAAAAAAAAAGCAGAAAAATAATACTGTTGTCAAACTTTGCCCACACTGACTTGCATAATCCCCAGGAGCCAGACTATTCTGCACTAACAATAAACCTGCCTGCTTCTTGATTCTTCAGTCTCAAAGAGAACCAGAAAAGAAGGATGAATGGAAAAGTCTAAATCTCATTCAGCCAACTCTATTTTTCCATTTCCAGATTACTGTAAATTAACTCTTCTAAAATACACTTCACAAAATCCTTGACTCTGCACCTTCCTGCAACGATACTCTTCCAAGGCACTGCCAACTGCACACATCATTAAGAAAGCAACGTTCTTTCTTATCTGCAGCACAGTGACTCACCACAAAAAACACCATCTTTCAAAGCAGCTGCTACTGTAACTTCGAACCAGCATTATGCATAATGCTCTGTACTTCTCCCATCTCCCACTGTACACACAGTACACACACAGTACTTCTCCCACTGATTTCTGAGGCACAGCTTCACACCATTTAACTTTATCATACAGAAATCTGGAATAAAAGTTGGCCACAAACCCTTTTACAGGAAAATGGAAGGTAATTCTGAAATCCAGCTCTTTCACGCGTTGAGATGACTGCCTCTCCTTCTCCATCGCCTACAGAAAGAACCTACAGTGGCTGAATCCTAAACTGGCTGTCATGGGTACCTGCTGGGTGAAATCCAGGCCTTAGCTTCTTCTTTGTCTTCTAAGCTCATATCTAATTCTTTAGAATTAGACCCTTTAAGAGAAAATGTTCATCTTGCAAAAGCTAGTATAAATTCACAAACAATAAACATGTCTCTGGAGCCTATGATTTGTCAGGCCTGTCTGTTTTTCATCAGCATTGAGTTAGTACTTAAAGGAAAACCTTCAGTCCCTTGTCTGTGCATCTATTCAATTTCAGCCTTTATGAAATGGAAACTATGAGAACTCCTTGTTTAGTCCAGGATGCCAACTGTCCTCCAACGCTCTTTGTGTTGGGCAGCTTAGCAGGAGTTCTAAAAATGAGTTTTAGATTAATGCTAAAATTCAGACATGTTTCTGATGACTAACACTTGTAACCTAATTGTCAGAATTGATTAATAGCCAACCAATTACCAAAGACATCTATCTGGCTACTACAGGGAACTATTCTGAAAGATTTTGGTTTGGAGAGAATAGGGCTTTGTAGAAAATATCCCTTTAGGCTTCTAAAAGCAGTCTTGTTGATACTGATTGAAGTAGGAAGCCTTGCTTGCTGTATATAAATGTTTTAATAAAATGGATTCCACCTTTCTGCTTGACAAGAATCTTTTCATTATTTGATAAATCCAAATGTTTAGTTTGAATTTCCTCTTGAAATCAAGAAGCATATCTACATGAAAACACCCAAGCATGACAAGACCTGCTCCTGCATTTTATACAGTGTGAAGGCACAGACAAAGTATTTAATGATTTCCCCCAAGAGAAAGAAAAGACCAATGAGCATGTACTTTATCTGTTACCAGGAAAGCTGGTCATGAAAACCAAACTCATAATGATATGAGCATTCAAAACACCTTGGGTTACTCTGAACTTTAGCCTTTTATACAAGTGCATTGAATACTAGTTCTTTTTGCTCCTGTTCCCTTAAATACAACTAGCCAAACAATTTGTCTCAAAAAAGCTAAATGTGCTATGGGAAAATACCAAAATCATGCAATATTCCTTTTTCTTTTTAATAATTACAACAGAATAAATGTTGCAGATGAGGTTAATAAGAGTAGGAAACCGCTTTTTTTTGTAGAGTAGTACTAATGCTGTTGACTTGATTCAAAGATACCTCATTGTATTCATCTAGGTATTGTATTCATCACGTGCTTCTATGAGATTAGTGTTTTTACCTTATATATCTTATATGCACTGGAACAACTAATGCAAATAAAGTGAATCTCATTGATAATGGTAGGTATCATTAGCTGATTAGCATGAGACTAAATCCACAGTATTCTGGCAAACCCCAGATGATCTATTGTGCCAGACAAAAAAGAAGATACATTGCCAAGATGGATGCACCACGGTTGACTATAAATATTCTATAAATAGGAAAATCTGCACCTGTACATGGACAAAATCAGCACAATATAATGACTGAAATTACAAAGATGACAAGTTCTTAAAAAATGCATCTGTAGTAAATATTTAACACTGCTTTGCACCCATTCATGCAGGTCATACTATCTGCCTTTAACTTACACGGTCAGTACAGCTTCCAGAAGGTCATCAGCCAGTGGCAACTTAAAAGACTTGCAAATAGTCCTGCACATCTGATAGGGCAGCACCCCACATCTACACAAACAGAAAGAGAGAGGGAGAAGTGTACATTAGGTATTAGCCAGATTTATTTCAAGTTAATGTTAATGTGTACAAGAAAATGTGTCAGAGGCAATGAAAATATATTTTATGAAATTTCACTGTTACACAGCTTAGAAACTCGAAATGCATGTAGTAGCCTGTCTCCACCATTCTGAGGTCCTTAGTGATTCTGTTATTCTGTGACATCACCGAACAAAAAGGGAAAATGATTAACATAAAGGATCAACAATAAATCCATTTTTTATTAAATAACTATTTTAGTCTTTCATTTAATATACTTTTTTGCCTGTGAACAAACATCTGATTATGTCAGTGAATACTCAGTATGGCAGCTATTAACAAAAAGTACATGAACAAAATGAAACGGACACAAAAAGACTATCCTTTTCTTGTCCACTGTCAAGTGCTGAGAGTGGCTTAAGATTCGAAAAAATATTCTTTGACTGTAATATATCATTATATATCATCAGCAACAAACAGAAACTAGGTAGGTTTGCAAGTAGATTTTACTAGAAAGCAGCTTAGGATAAATAGAGGAAACTTACTTTTCACGATCATTGTATACAAATACTGCAGACAGTTGTCCAAAATTCTCAAAGCTATTTTTCTTCAGTTGTTCTTGAGCCACTGCAAGGAGGAGGTGGAGGTCTGTTTCATATTCTTCTTTCACACCGTAATAGCGCCCAATAGTCATAATTTCGTGTTCTGAAAATGCTCCATCCGTGATACTGACTATCAAATTTCTGTTTACAAAAACAACAGACTACATTAGTTTAAGTAAAATAGTTAAAAAGTTAATAATTGCTAAATTTCTGTGAAAACAAATATTAAAATGCTGTATTTATTTACAATCTTTAAAGAAAGTATTCAGTTAAATCTGAAATCCAGGTCTGTTCAAGGAGGTTTAACGGGAAGTACCTGAACTCTTAACTTTTGGAAGATGTCCATGTTTCCTCTGTAGCTGACTACTCATAACAAAACACATAATCATTATAGAAACCTTTTACCTGGAAATGCTGTACTAGCATGGAACATTAGTAGAGATTAGCTTTGTCCAACAATACAGTGAATTATACAGGCTATTATCCTGTTTTGTTCCTAATTGTATTTTGTATTCTGCAATGTATGATTAATTATCTATAAACACAAAGCACATACAGCAGTTGCATAAAACATCATCGGAAGAGAAGTGGGGCAGAAGATACCAACAGAGAATGATGGTATTAATCAAGCATCAAGCCACACTCCACAAATCACTGTGAAAACTGGCCCTGTTGGGCAGCTTTCATGGAAAAGCTGGGGGAAGGGAAACACAAATCAGCCGCACAGAAAGGGCAGAAAATTACACCCAACTTGTAATCACAAGCCCTCCTGACAACAAAGAAATAAAGGACACAGCAGCAAGACCAGCTGATGCTTGGGTACTGTCAGTGGGGAATCAGATCCCACAGGGAAAAGTCTGAGATGCGCTCTCCCAAGGTTGCTCGTGCTGCTCAGAAGAACCAGCCCAACCCAAGGAAGAAGAAATGTTCCTAAGATCCATCTGATGGGCCAGTACTGGCATTGAAGGACTAATCATTCCTGTTAATATCAAGGATTTGTTGCTGGTAATAGTACTGGAGTAATTTAGAGTAAGCTCCTGAAGACACTTATTGTGTACCAGCAAATGGAAACAAGCACTGAGACTAAATTATAGTTTTGTTATACGTAAAACTTTGGTTTATATTTTTGGGAGAGGGAAGAGAAGGACTGAGTGAGAAGATGGTACAAGCTTTGCATTAGGGATTGTGCCACCTCCAGTGATTACAGAGTTCCTCCTACTATGTCCTGTGTGTTGACACAACAGGAAGGAAGAAAAATGCCAGTAGCAAGCAAATGTAGGAAGCTTCCAGCTTTCCTGAGAAAACTGAACTGTAGTTTACCTCAATAGCTACAAGACCACTTGTCAGACAAACCTGGGTTAGTGTAACCATACCTTGGCATTATGATTCCAAATCTGTCTCAGGTGAATACATAATCAGCAGGATCTTTTAACAGCAAGCATGAACACCGGCCTGTGTGTCTCAGTCAAAATTAGATTACCTATTTATGATGCAACTGGATAAACTGCACTAGGAATAAACTTCACCATAATGGCTTCCGTAGTTAGAACTGTACCCCAATGTGGGGTACTGCATCACTGTGATGCAATTTCAAGGATCACCAATCCTTGCAAAGAAATTGAAGAAATTGTTAGTGATAGAAAAAGATCAGACGCGAGACTCAAATGGCTGGCTGAAGAGCAGTTAAATTCCTGAACAATTCTGACAGTGGATCTTTTAGCATCCACATCTGAACTGAAAGCACAGAAATTTAGTACCCCTTCAAATTAGAAAACTTTATTAACAAATATAAATTTTCACTCACTTTGTCTCAGTAGCTTGTGTGGCCCTGCTCAAATGAAGATATTGCTACAGAGAATAGGATTGCGCTCACACAGCTATTCAAAAAAGGATACTAAACACCATATAGTGTCTACAATGACTAAACCGCTGTTTTTTCATTGTTTGTTTTGTTTTGTTTGTTTGTTTGTTGTTTTTGTATTAAATAAATAAGCAAGATTTCTTGTATTCTTTTGTATTAAATTTCTTTTGTATTAAATAAATAAGCAAGATATTTGCAAAGACAGGAGATAAATATAAGGAAAAGACAAGCTGGTGATAGTACCAAACCTTATTTTGAGTTCATGCAAGCTCAATGACCAAAACTTGGTCCATTTAGTAATATTATCTTACCACACACACTGAATATTATTATTTATGTTGTAGCAGCATACAGAGACCCAGTCAAAATCAGATCCTCTTTTTTCGGTATTACTGCAAACATGAAATAGTATTGTCTTGTAAGACTAGCACTAAACGCTTGGGTTGGCAAAGCTGAAAGCATGTAGCTAGCTTTACCCATGTGAACATGAAATCCACAGGCTGGATTTCCACACATGGCATGAAATTTTCCATAGTCAGTATTTTTTAAGTCTTATCTTTTTTCAAGCCAGTTGGTGACAATTAAGTCATCAAAACGCTACAGAAAATTGTCTCGTTTGGGAATTAAGGAATTTTCTTGTGATTCCTAGGGACTAACAAGTAAGACCCAAGATTCACACATTGAATACAACTAAACTCTTCCCGACAAAAATAAACAAGCTGCAACTATTGTTCCCACAAGTTAGTTATCTTTTTTTTGTTGTTGTTGTTCCAGAAGAATAATAGAGGTTGCAATCTGAATTTGGTAGAGAAAGAACAAATAATAATTAACTGCTTAAGAGAGCTATTTCTCAAGCTAAATTAAAGATAGGCATCTTTGCTAAACTCACATGGTTCTTTGTTTCTAACAGCAAATGGTCTTGCCAGCAGCTTCTGAGAAAAAGCAGTCTGGATAGAACCATGCGATATACAGACTTCTAAGTTATAGTTATTTTCTCTTCCTCTCTCTTTAACAAAGCTTTCAATAGTTCTAACAATAGCATTGGGGATTGCTTCTGTACGCACCATATATTTATTTCCTGGATGATGTCCCATTGATGTGGGTTTTGAGAATACTTCAAGTAAATTGTATAATTATAATTCTGCTTCACTACATCATACTTACAGGTGTATTTTTAAATTTAACTTGTATGAAATTATACAGGTAGAAAGGAAGAAACCTGAACTGCAAAATTTAGAGCACAGCAAAGCTTTAGCTGTATTTAAGATAAGAGGATTATTACGCTGGTTGAAGCTGTCACACAGATAATTGCCTGTATTAAAAATAATCATTTGTAGTTAGTTTTAGTCATGAAATGCCATGACAGATTTAAAATAAGCAGTGATGTTAACATGAAAAATATAAAACTCAAGGAGAAATACATATTCTTTTTGTAGAAAAATATCCGTGATTTATCATAGATGCAAAGAAGGGCTCTCTTGCCTTTGTCATTAAAAATGTTTCTTTCCTAAAATATGTGGATTTTAAAAAAAGAAAGTAAAAAAAAAAAACAAACCATTAAATATGAACAGAAACAAAATCTACTCTTCACTATAAAGCATGGAAGTCAAATTTGCCTTAGAGGCAAATCCTTCCTGTGGCAGTGTGTGAATGATTCCTGTTAAACCGCCTTAGGTCCCACCAGAGGAGGGATGTGGACCATTAGTAGGTGCTCAGACTCGCCTATGTGAGCACTGAGGCTAAAAAACATCATTATGTGGATTCCCCTGTTTTCTGTCTTGCTCATGGAGAGAGCTACTGTATTTTTATTGCTGAAACCAAGTGCCTCCATACATGCCAAGAAACAGCACCAACCTAAATTAAACAGCTGGGCTGTAATTAAATTTACGTGCAACCGAACCTCTGCTTGATAAAATAAATTAAAAAAAAAAAAAAAAAACAAAAAAAAAACTGCTGTAAACATGGAAAGCACAATCAACCCTTCTAAAAGTGTGCTCCACCAATTTTGTCATGCAAATGTTCTGAAGCCTTGATCTGTTCTTAGTACATGTAAGAAGACAATTTTGCAAATAATTATTTCATAATTTTAATTAAAACCATAATTGTTCGATTTTAAACAGTTACTTGACATGTAAATTAAAACCCTTTTACAAGTGCCATAAAGCTTCTCCACATACACATGAACTTCCAATTTTCTACTCTTCTTACTCTAGAAATAACATTTTCCCTCTTAATGCAGTTAACAATTCAAAATCTTGCTTTTGTTGAGTAAAACATCAAGGAGTTTAAGAATATTTTGACCAAAAACTTCCACTAGCTCTGGCTTCTCTTAGATTGAATCCTACTTTTTAAACACTCTTTTTTGATTTCTGAATACCAGCTTGTTTTCATCTGTCACTACTTTCACTTTGAATCACTGGAAAAACCTTCTTCAGATCTATATTTCCTCTGAGATATTTCACAAGGATTTTTCTGCATTGGTTAACATTTCTATAGGGATGACATTCCATGCAATATACATCTACTTACGCACTTCAGTTATTATGACAATTCCTAAATATATAGTTTATTACCACCGTGAAGAACAAAATGTTTCTAGGTAAATTTCCTCCTCTGTTCCACATCATTAATAAGCATCGCTCTCACTACTGCTTTCCAGTATGTTTTCAAGATGCTTATCACAGTATCCTGTAATTTCAGTACACCTTGGTTCATTTATCAATGATTCATTCATTTACCAATCATTCATTTATCAATGATTCAAAACCCAAATAACACCATTTCAGAAGGCAACTCAAACCTTCTTTCTCGAATTTCAAAACTACAATTAATTTGTTTCACTTTCTCATGGTGGGCTTTTCTTTATCCTTCGGTTAATATATTACTACTTACTTGCCCTTCTTCATAATACCCTGCGCCAGCTCCATAAAAAGTAGGCAGATTTTAGTTGTGCTTTCCAGATTACTTGAAAAGCTCTCTCATTTCTGTTTTTCCCGGGCATGGGTTCGCCTTCTTTTCCCACAAAGTCTCCAAGTAAATGTAAAGAAACATACACCATTTGTCAGCTAACATGTGCAAAAGGTGTCAATAGTAATTCATGCCCTATACTTTCTGGAGGAACGTGCCTCCATTAAATATTAAAAATCAAAACCCACTGTCTTACCTGAAAGGCTCATACGCGATCACCTTGGTATGCTCCGGGTCTGTGGCTGCAAACACCTGTCTGATTTCTCGTGAACGAGGTTCAGCTATGTCTTTCAGTTTCTTGAGGATGAAACCAGTATCAGCCACAGAGAACTTAACAAAGGAACACAGAACACAGAGATAAAAGAGAAAAGCTCTATGCGACTTATGTAACAGCAAGAGTTATCAGGATGCAGGGCAATGCTGAACTGTTAGTTTCTTCATTGTTTCATTTCAAATGCATAAATCTGCAACATGTTAAGTCTGGAGGGAAGCTTGCTACTGAAAAAAACTTGCTTTCTACTGAGAATTAAATAACAAAACAAAAATCATCAGATCATGCATTCTCAGAGAGCTTATTGCAGACACATGAAAGGACATTCACTTTTGCTTCAAGCATTGTATTGTTAAAACTGAAGCAGTAACATTTGAATTCTAGATCTAATAACTTTGTCCTCATTTTGTGTTGGTGCATGTGACTGAATTCTCAATAAATTTTACCAGGTTAAAACTAATCTTTTCACCATTGGCTCTGATCAACTGTTCCAACAGATACACTCATTCATATTATGTAAAACATACTCAGAATTAGCAGATTGGAAATCAGTTAGGAAACAATTTTCCCTGTCATGTAACAAGAATGCTTATTTCTTCCTAAATAGACCATTAAAATAAAATTGGATTCAGATAAATAGAAATGGAGCACTTAGGCTTTCACCTTATAGTCAAATTGCTGTATAAGAGCTCTACCAAAGATTTATTTGCTATGTTCACCTTTACCATTAAAGTCTATGTATTTAGTCATTAAACTGCAGCTGAGTCCAGATATTGATATCAGATATGCCCTTACATCTATCATGCTCTACCTCCTTTATAAAGCACAATGAATGGTCTGAAAATATTTTTCTCTCACTTCTTCCAGTAAGAAGTGTACTTTTAAAAAGCAATCACTTAAAATTTGGTATGACTGGTATTGAGGACTTCATCACAGAAGAGATGAGGCCTCATTCCCTATCCTGCTAAAGTCTGTTCACAGAATTGTATCTGTTCAAAGAGATCTAGAAAAGTACTTGAAGTATTGGAAGTCCTTTTGGCACTGCCAGAGCAGTATAAATTGATCCACGTTTAATTAATAAATCAGTGGTTGTGGGTAACGCGCTCAAATTTAGAGAAGACTGCCACTGCATATGCAAAAACTGCTCCAAGTACAACACTGGCATGCAGTGCCACACAAGCCAGTGGTGTGGAACAGCTTGACCAGCAATCAAAAAGACTTAGAGACAGCAACTTTTTCAGTCCTCTTGCCAAGACTTTATTGTCTGGGCCATAAGCCCACAGCATTCTACTGAAAAAGAAAGGAGCAGAGATTATGAAAAGGTTGGGCAGTTGGAATAGATCTGCAGAGTATTTAGAGATGGGCAAAGTGTCCTGGCTACTTAAAAAACTGCCCTTTACATTGTCAAAGCAGTTGCTTTTACATCTTTTTTCTGAACTATATATTGCAAACAGCTATGTAAACATCTAGTATCCGAGTAGCCTGATGATAACTCCTCACTCAATTACCCCACGTCTCTTGTAGCTGTTGACATTTCAGTAGTCACAATCTAGTTTTGTTTGGTTATCTTGCTTATGCCTGAGTCAGACTTCATTATGTTGGATTCAATGCAAGTAAAATCAACCTTCGTGCCTGTGCCACAGAAGACTATGAAGTTTAAGCAACTGAAACTGCTTCAGAGTTGATGAATCCATTTCCAAGGAGGCACAGCAATGCCTTGTTTGAAAGAACCCTCTTCAGACCTTGATAATACCATTAGAGCTGTGCACAATGCAAATGTTCTGTTCAGAAGCAAATTCAAGGTTTCCAAATACATCTTTTTTCATCAAATTGGAAAAGAAACTAAGGGTTGAAATGTTTTGAAAATTAGATTCTTCAAGTTACTTTCATTGCAGGCTGTGATCAAAACAAAAAGATTTATTGATTTCTTTTTGCCCCTTAATTTAAGTGCAATACAACAAATACATCTTTGAAACAGAAAATGTATCTCATTTTCCAAAAGAAAAATATTCCGTCTAGATTTCTTTCACCAGTGTTCAGAAAAGGTACTGATGTGTTGTTCCAAAAGGAAACCTCTGTTGATTCAGAAGGAAAAAGATTTCTAATGCTAGAAATAACTGAAATATAGTATTTTTCCCCTCTTCTAACCATCTTCTGTCTCTGCTTTTCTCTGATAATTGCTGAAGTTCTTGTGGGTTGAGTATGCAGTGCCAATGAACTGAGGTAAACAAGGTGTATCCTTACTTACTGGAACTGTTGCCAAAGGATCTGAATAAAACATGTGTCCTTGGGAGAATAAAATGGTTTTTTCTACCAGCTGTTTTGAACTCTTCACTATGCAAAGAACATTTCAAAATTCACTTCAGATAAGTGTTTTTAGTGCTGTTTCTTCCCATTTTGCAGATTTTATTTTGGTAATATACAATCATTCAGTCTGGAAAACTACGATTGCATTTATTTGCTTGAAGACAATCAATGCAAACAGCAGTTCCAAAGACCATTTACAACCTAATGATGCAGACTGCATTTTGGAGAATAGCTTTGATTTTTATTCTACCAGGAGTAAAAACAGTCCAGCAGTAAGAAAACATAAAGTATATAGCTTTGTATTTTACTGCTTAAAGCATTTAGCAGTAGTAACATTTTACATCAACAAGCATTTGTAGACCTTCCTCATTACTTCAGGGAAGGCAGGGTGGTGCTGACTCCACGCTGAAAAGGAACTGCGCTGTGTTCTGCTATTTGCAACAGAGCAAGCACAGTACGTGTGGCCAAAAGGCAATAATGCAGAGTCAGACTGAATTTACCTCTACCCTGGCAGCACAATGATGGCAAGTCTACTGGCATGTGGGGAATCCTGCAGGTTCACTCACTGTGGTGAGCCAGCAGGTAGGGAACAACTAAAACCTGCACTAAACCTTCTCCCTTCCCCACTCACAGAGGGTGTGGATTAAGAGGCAGAGAACATCATCTCATAGCTCGATAAACCCTCCTGGATATTCTAACAAGCCTGAATAATGGGCAGCTCTGCAGAAGATCTGCTGAAGGCACAATTCAGGCTGTGACCCCACCATGGGCTATGAAGCATATACAGTGCTCCAAAGGCTTCAAAACACTTTCTAGTCTGAAGGGTGATGTTCAAGATCATATGGTGCTGAAACAACTATCAGAAGAGGGATTGGGATGCTGAAATGCCTTGGCTCCTGAGCTGCTGCATTGTTAAGATGCATCTCAAACCAACTGGTTCAGGACTGCACACAATAGGAATTCCCAAGTAAACTGGGGTAATTTTTTTCAAATATTTCAGCACGAAGTTCATCATTTAAAAAAAATCTGCATTTTTTACCAAATGAACATAAAATCCCACAAAATGCTCTGGCACTCTTCTTTCTTTTGATTTTCCATCCCTGTATCCATTCGTTTTTTGACCTTTGTGGCAATTGCTGGAGGACAATCTATTTCTTCCTATTGGATATATTTCAGGTTTTAATGAATGAGGGCTTTTTACCAAACATCTGTGTAATGACTGGTAGCAAAATGTACACATAAACAGAAGCAGTCCAGCTCTTTCTTTATTACTGCTCTCCCCTCTGCAGGCAACTCTAAAAGACAGTGAAACTCGGTACAAACTGTAAGCCCCAATTCCTGACTGTGATTTGAATTTCTAATATTAAAATGGAAATGCTCAGTAAAATAAATATGTATGAACACAAATAAATCAAATTAGGAAATTCTCATCAGTAAGATTCTAAAGCTCTCCCTAGCTAGCATCTCCTACATCCACTGCTAGAGACAGAGCACTGGGCCATGAACTTTGGGTGAAGAAATTAGGTATAACCAATTCTGACAAATATAATATAGATAAGATATAGTTCTTAAAGCCAACAGAAAATAATGAGAGCCTGCTTCACCTCATTTGCATGCTTCTCCATATAGTTGATAGTGTACTCATCAGCATCCACCAAAAGAAAGTTGTGGCCATGGAAACAAACTCTGGCTCCAACAAACAGATCCTGAGCCTTGAAGTATTCAGATGGCTCACTCTTAAAGAGCTCCTGCCCAGGCTTCTTAATGCGACCTCTTTCCAAAAACTTCCCACCGAGTATCCCTATGGGAATAGAATTGTAAATAATTAATAGTGGCTTTGCTCAGGAAAAAAATAAAAAATAAAAAAATGAAATGAAATGAAATGAAATGAAATGAAATAAAATAAAATAAAATAAAATAAAATAAAATAAAATAAAATAAAATAAATAAAATAAAATAAAATAAAATAAAATAAAATAAAATAAAATAAAATAAAATAAAATAAAATAAAAAATGACTCCGAACCAGTCAGTTTATATTTATATATTAGTTTTCATCCTTGAGTTTCGTGTCTCAATATGTGTCCCCCCTGCTTCTCATTGCTAAAAGAATAGCCTCTACCAGTGTCCACAGCAACAGTTACACTGTGCATATTCTGTGACATGTCTCATCTGAATGCCTGCCAAACACCTTCCCTTTTTTCTTTTCTCTAAAATGTGAGAGAAATTTGCCTCTTCAAATGGTTCCCATAACCCTGCTGCCAGCCTTGGGACTGACCCGTGAGAAAAGTAAGATGCGAAATGCAGGCAATTATCCTCGAACTGTTAAAGTAAAAAAAAAAAATAAAAAATAATAATAAAAAAAAAATCCACAGCTTAGTATAATACAGTCCTACTAAGATCACGAATTCTGGTGCACTGTAATTCTAACTTGCTTTTAAGGGCTTTTGAATATGAAAAAGGAAGGAGTGACATGACACTATCTTCTACGTACTCTTCTGCCAATGCAACTTACCTGTGATCTGTTATTTCCTTTCTGAGCACAGTATGTCACATTATTTCTTCTCACATTATAATGATTTGATTCATGCCACTGGAAACTGTACATTGTGCTCGAGGGTATGTAAGATACTAAAAGGAACATTTTTCTTTCCATTAGTATCTTCTGGTGCACCACAAGATTACATCACATTTACCAAGCTTTCTAGAAAACAGTCTGTTAAATGTTTAGTTTCATCAGGGTATGTGTCCTACAACAACTCTGGAGTGCCTGGGGTTTGTTTCCTGTTTATATTTGAGCTTCCAAGCCAAAAGCCAAAAAGCATACTTCAGTAACATTTAATGATGCTTCACATATTAGGTAGTGATGCGAGTCCAATAAAAGGCTGATGAACAGTGTAATAAAATGCCATTTATAGTCAAAATTATAAATGAATGTGAAACCCAAACTACTTATTAAACCAGAGTTTGGATCAGATGTCTTACTTAATTGCTTTACTTGTACCATAAAGGCAAAAGACAAAAAAATACACTAGGGCAATGGTCAGGTCTAGCTTAAATCAAAAAACGATTCTAATCACTAATGTAACTCTAATCTTAACACATTCCTTTTTACCTAGCTATTAAAACAAATATGAAATTTTACATTGTAAAATCCTGGCAACTGTTTGCAATATTTAAACAAAATCGATCACTGTAAGACTGAAATTTCACTCCTGTCTCTGTTTTTCCCTGCAACTGCGCATTTGGATTGTAAACTTACCTTAATACCTCTGTCTGATAATTGTTTTTTAAATATTATGGGTGAGTACATTTCAAGTGGTATAAAGAAAAACAACCCCCCAAAAAACTCATTAGGTTAGAGATTTTACACTGAAACCTGATGAGAAGTTTTGATGGAAATCTACAAGAGTCGGGCTCAAAGCACAAAATAAACACCACAACCAAAGACCCTCTTCCATTAAGATCAGATCAGACTTTGCAGGTGTTTGTACAGCTGCTGGTTTGGTCTGGGGTAAAAAAGGGGTTGTGATCTCCTACATGGGGAGACAAAGTTCTCTTGCTTTGACCCCCACCTCAGCAAGTGCTTCAAGATGTCCAACCCTGTGTATTTCAATTAGTGTTTCACACTGTTACTAACAGTACGAAGTACTTCTCAGCAACCTTCTGGTCCCTGGACTTAGAAAAGCAAGAGCAACTGAGGTCTGAAACATTTTTATTTGCCAATGTGTATCAACTCATACAAATAAAACAGGAAGAGATAGCCATTTGAACCTGTGCACTGGCCAAAATGTTATTCTGGGAGCCATTTACCATTTTAACTCATTCACTTTCTAAGCAGTGCCCAGCCTTACTCTTCTCACACCCTGTTCACTTCAACAGCACTTCTGCTCCTCGCAAGAATGTTCCTCTCACTCCCATTTTGCACGCCTTACCCTTTTTCCTAGCCTCTCATACCTGACCTCTGCAAAGCCTTCTCATCCTTAACCTCAAAGAAACTTGGTCTCTCCTCCTTCAGACGTGACTAAAATGAGGGAAGAGGAAAGCAAAAGGAATAAATGAAGGGAATGGGAACAAAGAAACTTCTGCAGTCCCAGACCTCTTTCTGCTCTATCCCTTCATCTCTATTTCTTATCCTGCCCCTTCACGGCTGCTATCGCTAAATGCTCCAGAGGGCACTTCTTAGTCATATCCTTCCACATAGTTCATCTTTCTGCCCTCTCTGAAACAGGCAGCTTCTCCATCCTCCTTAACAACACAGGAAAGTTGAAAACCAATTTGCTGACACTTGCCTTTCGTACGTGTCTGAAGGCATTTCTTACTCTTGGTGTGCAAACTTGCTCATTTAGTTTCGTGTTCTGTTCAACTAGCAATAATTAATGGGGCCCCAGCTGCAAACCTAGCATATATTCTTACTCCAAAATAAAAGGAAGCCAGGGAGTAATCTCTGACCTTGCAACCACGCTGCTGCCAACCCGAGTGACTCACCACAGCTGCACTGCACAGTGCGTGGGTCTGCTCCGGGTCCTATGTGATAAACTTGGGGTCTTAAGACACAGATAGCACTTTTGTGTGTTCAAACTGCTTGGAGGTATGCGAGGGCTGTGCTGTGGTCTAAAGGAGCAGCGTTTTACAGCAGAAAACCAAGGGCATGTCTTGCAGCACCTGGGTGTGGCAGAAGAGCCTGGGAAGGGTTTTTGAGTGTGCAAAACCTCCTGGGACAGTGTTAGATAACCGATAAGGGTGGAGCGAGCCAAACCTGATGCAGCCTTGTCCTCACTGCCTTGCAGACGGGTTTTCTGGAGCTAAGCATCCTCCAGGAGGGACCTTGGGCTCTGTGGGACCATGTCTAGTTGGAATGGTGCAAAGGAGATCCCAGAGTGACTGACAGGCAATACAGATGACAGGGATCCAAGGTTCAAACTCTTCCCTGGCCTCAATTTAACAGTGCAGCTGTACCCTTAGCATCCTTTGTGTCTCCAGACATGAAGCACACCAATCAAACATATCATGCTCTAGTGCAGAACTGAGCTGCTCTTGAGCCTCTCGGCAGCATCACTTAACAAATACACATACATGTGTGTATAGCTTTAGCTGTATAAAAGAAGTTGTATACATTAAAAGCTACTGCATGGAAGAAAAGTAGTTAAATAACAATGACAGGACACTGCTGCCATAAAGCAGCGTTAGATCTTTAAGCTACTCTTGAGCAGGGCTACCTGCAAAAGGTCAGTGAAGCCTATTCAAGGGCTCTGCATATTTTCAAAACATTCCTCAGAGTACTGCTTGTATTTAGATGGTGGGTGGGGTCTCTGTTTATGCATTCATAATATAGTTTGATACAAGCAAATATGCAATCAGAAGTTCTTGCATTGGAAAGGCTCAGGTCTTGCCTGAGAGAGGGCACCCTAAATGACTTAGTAGCACCACTGGCATAGAAAAAGTTGTCTAGGAATACAGAAGGATCTACATATTCACCACACCTTCACTTTTCACTAATGTGATGTTCATCACAGGTCTGACATGGATTAATATTAAAAAAAACCACAAACATTTTCAGTAAAGGCTTAGAAGTAAGGATGCAAGGACACTCAGCCCTTAACTACAAGCTGAATAACTTAACCTCAGCAAGTCAACTGCTGCCACCAGAGCCTGAAGCTAAGGAGAATGAAGAGCCCTCCCTGAGACAGTCTTTGCTGTAGACAGTGAGCTGTACCCCCTCTCAGGGCACAAAGCAGGTACCACTAAGTGCAGTGAGCTGGTCACCATTGCAGAGTGTACCTGAAATAACAAACTAAGGCTCTCTGTGCCAAGAAGGTGGTAGAGAACAATTCAGACAGTATCAAAAGAGCCAGTCAGGAGGTTTCACAAGAGCCTTACAAGGTAACAAAGGAAACCTTCTATTACTGTTTTTGTCTCATCTTTGAGAGAACATGACTTCCTGACTTTTTTCTCCCAAGGATTTTATCAGTGGCTGACAGCAATCACTTCTTCAGCTGCACATCTTGAGAATGGCCAGAGCTCTTCTGGATGTTAACTGATGTGAAACTGTTGCTACAGATGTTTTGTGGTCTTCACAGAAATAGGCTCATCTCTCTAACAGAAATCCATGTAGCCAAGGCTCCCCCACATCTCTGAGGTACAGCTTGACTTCCTGCCATCCTTCCCAGTGCTGTGCCAAAAACATACCCACAAACACACACACGCTCTTGTACCACAGGGCAACATTCACTCTTTAGATGCTCAACACTGCATGATTAATGATAATGCATATTAGAAGTTGTCACAGCAGCTTTGCCTTCGTGAGCTGATTCTATATGAAGGATGTTATATAGGTGTCATAACACCATAACACTGCCTTGCAAAACAAACGATTTACTCTTTCATTCTTTATGTCTTAAATTTCCTGTTCCTTTTTCACATCAATTACAATACAATTCCTGTATGTTATCTACAACAAAAGCAAATGCTTAAAGGCCAAATTTGCAAATTAAAATGTAATAAAAGTCCTAATACATTAAACTTCCAGTTCCCAAAGGACATTGTGAAGTGCTGTCATACCATGAACAGCATTATTCTGAGCGATGAAGATTATAAATTATTATGACATACAGCTATGCAAGATAATGCAGAAGAGCTGCTGATGTAATTCCCAGTGCATTTAAAAAGCCACATCCCTGCTTCTGCTAGTGCTGACTCCAGCCACAACGTTTACTGTAAACTGTAATCAAATGAGCAGGGCAACTGAGACCGACTGCAAGCTTACCTGAGTTTCGTTGTGTATATTCATAGACTGAAATGGTGTCATCACTCAGGAAGTAGCAAATAATGAATTTCCGATCCTTGTCGACAGGACTATCCATAACAAATTTTGCAAGAAAGCGCAGTATGTTACTTTCCAGACCACTTCTAAAAAAGATGTAAGAAATTAAAAGCAGAGTGTGAGAAAAGTTTTCAACACTTAGAGATGCATTCCCCTGAGATTTTAAAAATATATTAATTGTGTTTTTCCTGGACCAAGGAGGGAAATGGCATAAGGTTCCCTATTTTTCTAAAAAATAATTTTCAGCTTAAATTAACTGAACCAACAAGACTCAGCCAGATAGAAAGGAATTATTTTCAGGGAAAATTGCTTGTCTGCCAAAGCTCTGAAATGAATTTGTATTCAAATTCAGTTGCAAATGAAGCTTCAAGTTTCTTTCCAGAGCATTTTTGGAGGAAAAAATGTATTTAATGTGTATATTTTCGAATCAAACTCTGAATGGCAATACATATGAGGACCTATCTCCATGAAATCAGGCCTATCAGATGATCTTACTAGTTGGATATTCGTTATGTTTTACATGATGTACAGTACCACTGTATGCACTACTAAGTCTTTTCCTAATAGCTTTCTTTTTTTTATGGAGGTTTTATGTGTGGTTACTGTTTCTCTAGCATGTCAATTTGCTGTTTTGTGGTCTTCACAGAAATATGCTAATCTCCCCCACAGGAATCCACTTAGCCAAGGCTCCCCTACCTCTCTGAGTTACAGAATGACTTCCTGCCATCCTTCCCAGTGCTGTGCCACATAGCCACGTTTCCACTTTGGCCTTAACAACCGTTGCCTGACAAGGCATTTCATTATGGAAAGTAAAGGGTTAATGCTTTAAAACATTGTTGTAGCAGAGAACAAAGCAAATGCCAGATAGTCAAACAGAAAAAACAAATCAGTGTTGGACTGCTGTAGCATTAAAAATTCCTGGCTAATTCCTGGACTACTACTTCCATGAAACTGCCACTGAAGACTTTTGCTGCGGTCCAAGAAAACTGGAGTTCCATGTCAGTAAACTAGTCCTCATGCACCTGTCCCTTAAAACTCATATGAACTCCATATTTTGCCAAAAAAAAAAAAAAAAAAAAAAAAAAAAAGATATCTGCACTTAACATCCGTTGCCTTCACAAAAATAAATAACAACAAAAAAAAAGAATTATTTTTCTTCAAAATACCTGTCTTTCTCCAGGAATTTCTTGAAATCTTTTTGGGGAGGCTTGGGAAGCAGACCCTTACAGGAGCATAACGAATCTTCTTCAGAACCAAATCCGGTATATGGTGGAAACGTTTTTTCTGGTTTTGGTGGTGGTGGAGTTTTATATGCAACTGGGGTGAAATCCTCTGCAACAAAGACAGCAAGAGTTATTTATTATTGTGCTTATGAAGCTGTTCTACTAAGGATTTAAACTTCCAGCATGAATACTTATTTCTGTGTTTATTTCTGCCTATTTCTGTAACAGAGCACTAATCAAAGTCTAACCAGGATCCCTCCTACTGCTACAGAGCAGAAAAAGACCACAGAAGCCAACAGCGAAATTATTGTTTCTTCATGGGTAGCAGAATTTTACCTATAATCTTAAAATGTTTTACAAAAATCATTAACATACACAGGCAAAAGAAATGACAGATGTAGTTTCAAAATGGGATAGAACAATAAATTAGCAATTCTAAATTTATTTTTTAGTTTTATCCTTTGAGACCAGATTAGTGAGTAAATACTTGGCTTATGAGTTTCTTGCCCTCTGCTTATCCCAGGAGGAAAATAAATACATAAATAAATAACATTTTATTCATTGTTCATATCATGCATATATGAGAAGAATTTTTAAAGTTTATGGACATCTTGGTACACTGACGCCAATAGCTTCAGTCCACATCTCAACTTCATCCAGAGTTGGGGAAGGTTCGTTTTCACTCATTTTCCCCACTCTCAAAACTTTTTTCACTTATTCCTTCCCTGAGCTGCTTCATAACATAACTTCCAGCTTCCAATGAGGTCTGCATAAAAATTCAACAGAGTAAATACAGAGTCTTCTGGTTAAATATAGTGAATGGAGAATGGAAAAGGTGAGAGGAGAAAAGTAATTGATAGATAGAGGAAAACAGATGGGCAGACTTGAAGCAAACGAAGCCATAAATCAAAGGACCTCAGTACAAATCAGGCTGGATGAGACCTCAGGAGTGTGGTCTCCTACTCAGGACAGGGTCAGCCCCAGGCTGGACCAGGCTGCTCAGGGTTATGTCCAGGTGGGGCATGAAACATCCCCGGATGGAGCCTGTGCAGCCTGCCCTGGGCCCAGCTGACCTTGGAGGGGAATTTTTGTAATACCCACTCTGACCCTCCCTGGTTTACCATTTATGCCCATTGTCTCATGCCCTCCTGCCAGCAATATCTCCATGGTTGGGTACAGGTGGCTGTTTGTGCCCTGTGTCTGTTCCCCAGGCTGAGGAACCATGATCCCTTGGCTGTTCCTCCACCCTGACCATCCTAGGGCTTCTCCCAAACTCACCTTGGCTGCTCCATGCCTTTCCTGTACTGGCCAACACAAAAGAGAACACATTATTTTGATGAGGTGCAACAAGAGCAGAGCAGAGAGGGATAGTCACCTTCCTTGATTTTCAGACAGTTGCTGTCCATGCTACCACAGCTCTGGTGCCCACCACAACCTTCAGGGCCTTTCCTGCCCCAGCACGGGTGCAAAGAGAAGGTTGGAGAGCTTGCTGTGGTCCAGCCAGTGCAGTATTGCCCACGTGGAGCAGTGCCACCTCCACGTCTGGGCTGGCCAGAGGCGCTGCCCCAAGGAACCAAGAGCTACCAGGGCTGCCAAGCATAGGATAAACACATGGGGTAAAGTGGAGAGGAAGCTGGATCACAATTTGTAGCCCAGGAGGCAAAGAGTGATGTTAACTGACCAGTGTGTTAAACTTCAACCCACAAAATAAAGTTGTTTTTTTCTCTAAAACTTAAATTTGCAACAGAGAACTGAAGAGAGATTAAAAACTTACACTTGTAGCTTGGGTTTCAGTACAGTCGAGGGGAATGATAAAACTGGTGTTGCTTTAAATGTTTTCTGAAGTGGTTTGTTATTAAAATGTTTTAAACAGAAATATATCAGCAGATCAAAGCAACCTACTCTTTTAAACTCTGACTTGCCTAGCAGCAGTATGAAGCTGAAAAATACAAAAAGAATTCAGATGCCAGAGTTTTTCTTGAACTTGAAACACAATGTGATTTTCTTTGGCCTTTACCTGTTACAATATGGTCTAATGGAAATGCCAATACCTTTCCCTGAATCAGGAAACAGGGGGGGTTGCAAAAACATGCCAACTTTTTTTTTTTTTTCCATGAAAACTATGTGTGCCCTTTCTGTCACTCAGAAGTACAAAGGCCAAGCCCATATGCAAAATTCCACTCAGAAATTTTCAAAGCTTCAGAGGCAAACAATAAACGTATGTGTAAACATGCAGCAAAATACGATTTTCTCAATATTGGTCGTGACAAAACTGCTTCTCAAGACATTCTCAGTGTGCCGGGTTACGTAACCTATACACGCAGCTCTTGGTACGATAAATGTTACGTATGTAAATCAACATATTGAGACAGAAAATAAAAACTATACCCACTGGTATTGATTCTGCATGCCCAGTTGGCGCATGTTGAGTTACTCCAAAACTACCCATGTAGTTACCAACAGAAATATATATAGAGAGAGATATAGATATTGGTTTCATAATACAGGTTTTCTTCTGGGATGTGGCACACGCACAAACCCGAAACCTCGATGAAGATCACTCTTGCACTCCAACAGTGCCACCTAGTGCGTGTGCGGCAGATGGGACAGGGAGAGCCACGCAGTGTCACTCGCTTCTCTTGCTCGGGTGGCACGAAGGCGGCAATAAAAGCTGTGATCTGTAGGCAATGCAGCCGTACTAATAAGGCGTGATGCAAAGAAATGCAATGGCTTTTAGCTGTGTCAGACTGCAGCTGGCTCCTTTACCACCTCCCAAGTCTCTTCAGGTGGTTGCAGGACGTCGGTAAGCCAGCTCTCCTGATCAGCTCATAACTTAGGCTCTTCGTGTTATTTAGAAATATAAACAATATTTTCTATTACGCACTATGTTAAGCTGCATTACTATTTCCCCCCTCGGGGTCTCGATGCTGGGAACACCGTGTTTTTAGCAAAAAACAGAAACTCCACTTCGTGCAGCTCTAAATAACACGCTGCCTGCCAGCACCGTTTGGAAAGGCAGGATGTCCAGTTGAAACTGTAAACTTAAAAGACAAGCAAATGCATTTACATGCAGGTCACAGTATATGCACATTAACACTCATGCATAAGGCATTCGTTAAGAAATGCTAAAGCATTTCCCTTTACATGCATTTTAGCATATATTGATGAAAAGTAGACGGATAAACAGAAAGGAAACTACAAATTAAGAGGAATATTGTGTTAGTCCCAGAGAGTATGTTAAACAATCCCAACCCAAGCATGGGGTAAACTAAATCCAGAGAGAAATTCAGTGCTTTGTTTCTCATCCTTTCCCCAGCGTAAAACAATCTTACTTCATTCAGATTCACTAAAGAGAATAATGCAAACATCTAGTCTTGTGCCACCTACAGCTTCCATGATTTTAAAGGCTTATGTATGCAGATTCTCTCCTGTGAACGAGGAAATTCAGAAAGAATTTTACATAGAGAAACACAGTTTAGCAGACTAGTTAAAAACTTGTTTCTGCAACTCTTGAACAGCCAGGAAGGTGCATTAGACTAAGAGCTATGAACACGTTCCAGACTGTTTTCATCTTTGCCCTGCCATGCACCATGAGCGTAGTATCAGACAGACAACTTGCACTTACAGACAAAATGCACCCCTCTCAAGGTTATCACTGTTTCTTAAGAAAATGACTTACGTCCATTCTGGAAAAGAAATCAATGCTCTTTTCTTCTAGGCTGTAACATTTTCAATGTGAATTTACAGCGGGTAGCGGGTAAATTGAGAGTCTTGGGTTACAAATTTCTAGTTCCCGAAAGAATAGTAGAGATTATTTTCCCCATGGACTGTTTCACCCCTTATCACTGCCTCAATTGATACCCAGCAGGAGAGATGCTGCCACTGTGGTGTTTATTTCACCTAGTATATCAAATATTTATCACACACTACTAACTTTTTCTCATGGCATCAAAACCTGTGTGAGAGTTGAACAGGCACAGGAAACACCAAGAACCAAAACCAAATCCAGTCTCTTCTTTAGCATACAATTTGAGGATGACACAGCCTCCTCAGTAAGAAAAACTAAATTCCTCAAAAATGATTCGTTGCCACAGAGGCAGCATTAAGCTGGCTTGAATGAGATTTTGTCTGCTTTCAGTTTCAATAGACACTGTGAGATCATAATATACACTGTAAGATTACCTTCTGCCCTCAGCTGATGAACCGTAGGAAAACCCTCACATGTTAGATAAAAACACATTTCAAGGAAGAGTAAAGTGATATATATTTTGGATCACAGTGATAACCATATTGAATATCAGCATATAACTGGCAGGCAAGAAATTCTACCTTCAGAGGAACAGGACAGTCACATCTAAGCATTACAGCCAGGGACAGGAGAGAGAAATCCCACTAGCCTTGGACAACAGAGGTGGAGTTAACCTGGGGAGCTGACATTGCTAACATGATGTTCCCTATACATAAGGGGTATAAGAAACAGCCGACACTTGGTTTTCATGAATGTTTCATGACTTAGGTAAATTAAGAAAGCAGAACCAACATCTTAACAACTTTTACATGCAGCAATGAAAGCGAATCCAGTCTTTGCAAAATCATGTGTGCAGCTAAAACATTAGAGTGTTTGTTTTGCTTCAAAGAAAAACTCCTCTTCGGGAGTCCTACTTCAAGATTATTCCAGTTACCTGAGGGAAAAAAAAGGCATCTGCAAATGCCTGTAGCACTCCCTGTGTATATTTAGATCCTGCAGCTCAGCCTCAACCACACTTAATGGAGAGGTTAGATGCCGGAGAGATTCTGATCTCCAACGAGTTCACTGAAAATTGGCAGCAGGCTTTAATGCCCCCACTGAGGGAAAAGCAAGAAGTCAGCTGTTATCCAGCAGCAGCTGCCTGGCCAAAAGCACACATGTACTGGCCAGCCGCTCACGCTGCTCTGCCCAGGCAGCAGGTCAGAGAGGGAGCCTGAGAAATGAGGGGGTGGGAGGGCGAGGAGAACCGGGACACGAGAGGGATCACAGGGTGCCGCGAGAAGGCGTAACAGGCAGGCCTGGGAGGTGCTGGGACGTTGAATAAAAATCAGCAGGAAACCAGATTTCACTGGTTTTGTTCCTGAAGGAACAATCTGTTGTTTAAGAAAGGACAATTTATACTCAACTCAGTGCTGAGATAATGTATTTGGTTAGAAGAGCGAGTATCAGCTTCCCACCATTGCACTTCAGTATATTTCACGTTTCAGCTGAGTGACCACAACATCTATATGTTGGCCACAACACATGGCTATAGAATATTTTTCTCCTTCTCTGCAGCTTCAGTAACAGATCTAGACAGATAGTATCACGCATTAAGCTATTTTTTTCCTTGAATTCACAGCACTGTTACATGACAGTAATGGCATTAGCTTCCTACTGAAGGGCATTAGCCATGTTTACCCATGGAAAAGCTCTCCTTCACTTTTCACAAACAGTACGAAGAGCAAAACAGGCAGAAACAACATTGGAAATACATCAGATACCATAATCATGCACTTCAAGGGAAATCCAAACTGTCCTTAATTCTCCTAAAGGGCAAATTCCATTGGCAAGCAACTGATGCTGAAACTGCAGAGTCAAAAATAAATGTCAGCCTCTTTAATGACTTTGGCAGAAGAGTATAAATTGAAAGGGGAGTAACGTGAAAACACAGTAACAAACAGCTGGATTGATGCTGCGAGGTGCTGAGAACTGCGCCTTGATGTAAGAACTCATTTATCCTCTTGCTTACTCTTACCCAAGTAAATGGTCTCTCCGGATTCAAACTGCAATTAAGTATGTTTCAGTGTTTAATTGGACTGGGGCAGATTGCTGGGCACTTTGTGGGATCAAGCCCACTGAGAGTACCTTGTATGTCCACCAGAAGCAAACAAAATCAGTAGCACACTAAGAATAAAGGGCCATCTCTTTTACCCTCGAAGTCTAACTGCTTCTAAGACAAAAAACTACCCCGATTTCACTCCCAGATCCTACTAACTAAAAAATTGTGCCAACATTTTCTTTAACCCTGATGGGGAAAACAAGAAATAATTTCACAGCAAATCATTAGAATCTCTTAGCTCTTAGAAAGTGTGTATTTTCTGTGAACACGACAGGCATCATCAAGACTGATTTTTTTTTTTTGTTAGCCACACTCTCTGCCACCATATATCTTTAAAGTTATGTGGAAATCACTACCCAGTGTTGTGAAAGTCTCAGCTAGTGCATGTCTTTTTATGTCACATATTGAGGAGACAGAAAATCTAGAGGGAGCACTGAAAAAAAAATGATCACAGAAAAAGATGAATGGACTATGGAGACACTGAAAGAATTGGGTTTCCCCAAACAGCATGGGAATAGATAAAATATGTACAAGGTTTTTATAAAAGAGGATATTGATCAGTTGTTCTCCATGTCCAGCAAAGATAAGGCAAAAAATGTTACTCTCTCAGTTTACACAAACCAGCTTCAGAGTAGTTATTAAGCATCTTTTCTAACTATGAATTTAAGACAAGATAGCTCAGGAGGCAGATGAATCTCCCCCGCTGGAGGATGTTGATGAAAGGCTATACAAATATCAGTCAGTGACTGTCTAATATACGCTGTCCCGCCTCAAAACAAAGGGAAAGGACTAGATCACCTACAGTCCCAATTTTCAATAACTCTTCATATCAGCAACTTCTGACTTCTCCTAACTTGCAAAGCACCTAACTGTAATATCCAGAGCCATAACCAGTAACTCATGAGCCAGCATTATAGCAGAGGAAGGGCCTTTGGGTTTGGTAGCACTGCTTGGTTGATACAGAATGATCAGCTGCATTTCATTTATCACTCTGCTGTGAACAAGAAATCCCCATTCACTGTTCCAGGATATTTCACTCAGACAGCTGATACGGCTGCCAAACAGAGGCAGCGGTCTTGGCTGAAAAAATTACGAGGCAAGAAGCCCCTGTTTTGCATCTCCAGTGTTAGACTCATTGTTATTATAGATAATACTATGGTTATTGAACGTGGTTTCTTCACACACTGGCTAGTGTACGAAGAGATTTATTTTGGCACAGACATTCGAAGCTATTATTTAAAAAGTTATGAAACATGTTTTGCCAATTATGAAATTTAGCATTGCAATGGCAGCACTACATTATCTAATTCCCTCAATGCAGCAAAGAGGCCCTGATCTAAACACTGCATCCTATCAGATCATAAGTCAAGCTAAAAGAAATAGTCTACCAATGTATTTTGTTTCTCAATGTCAGAGAAAGACCACAGTAGGATTCTTTCAATCATCCCTGAACAGTCAGACACTTAGCTATATTTATTGAATGAATAAACTGCCAGAAATTAAGTTATTTTTGCAGAAAGATGTCTACAATAGAACCATTAGCAAGTCCGACTGAGGGAATTCAGATATAGATAAGCGAAAGACCCTATTGTTACACATTTCCAAAATGATTTTTCATTATGGACATAGTTGCTAAATGCTTCCAGAATTCAGCACTGAAACCTCACAGAATAAATACTCTGATGATTCAGAATACATAAAACAACACTGTAAAAAACAATAATGTAATAGACTACTACTGTTGTGTCAGGAAATCTTATTATGTGACAATTGTGACATCCATATTAAATGAAACATAGTATAATGGGGAATAATTGAGCCTACTCACCCACTCACCGCTTGCTCTTTATTATCTTCTGACTGCAAACATGGCTATTGGAATGGAGGGGGAAGTAGAGGAGAAGAAATGGCAGTCTATTCATATGACTATTTTGTCATTCTAGTTTTAAAATAGAGGCAGTTACGAACAGAACATGTACATTATGTATTGTTTTTCAGCAGAGCAACATACAAGAAAGCACTTCTGGATCACCTGAAAAATTACCGCTTTGCTGTTCACAGCCTACAACAGATTATTATTGCTAAAGGTTTTAATGAACAAGTTTTGTCAGTAATAAAATTCAACGACAGTTCTGTCAAACTCAGAGGTATAAAAATGCTTGTAAGGAAAGGATAAGTATCACAACTTACCGATTCCATACTTTGTTCTGTAATAATCTTTAGTGAATTCATCACAATCACAGAGTAATATCTTCCTTCCCCAAACATTAATTACTTCCCCTATTTTCAGGTCACTGTCTCTGTAAAATTCCTGATGCACTGCTCCTGTCTAATAAAATTGGGAACATTTATATAGCAACTCTATAAACCCAGAATCATACAACTTTTCTTAAAATCCAGATCATTTAGTGTGTGTGCTTTAAAATATAAAAATATAATCTTCATACTTCATTTGCACTCCATGCTAAGGTACCTCACCTTCACATTAAACCTCAGTAGTTTTGATTTGAGCTACTCTCCAGTGTCAACACTATTTTATAAGCTCTCCTTGTTGTAGAGGATAACAACAACAGAAGTTACAAAAACTACTATAAGGACATTCCGCTGCTTGAGGTGTTCAATAATATCTGACCTTACGATTATCCAGAATGTAACGGCCTCTGTTTCCTACTAAATTTCCAAACACGTTGAGAACAGTGCGAGCGGTGATTGTGCCCGGCTGATACAACCCGGTTGGAGCATACTGCAAGGAAGGAGACAGGCTGTTAACAAATGCAGTTAACAGTGAAGAAAGAGAACAGGAACTAACATTTTTTTTAAAGACTGACTATTATTACAGTGTTTTCTTGGGAGAATTTTTAGTAAATTCTGAGGTAACTTTATGCCACTGAACCTAAAACCCTGCGTGTAGGTAAAAAGAAGCATTCAGGATCTCACTGCATATCCAAGAGTAAAGTTTTCTTTTTTCTTGGAAGCAAATAGAAAGCAAAGATTAGCACACCCAAAGTAGCACATCCTTGTCAACATCTGCTCTCAAGGCTACCATTTTGACTGGTAATAATAACAAAAGCATGCCAAGAAAACACTCGGGGCTAGTCCTCCTGGGCTGAACACTGTGCAAATACAGGGGATTCAAGTCAGCATAATTCTATTGGGAGAAAAGTTATTTTTTGTTTGTTTCTATTGTAAGCTTCAAAATTAAAATAGAAATTTCTACCAATAATATCAAGTTATTGTACATTGAAACATGCACTTCTCTAGTAGAAGGGGTCTGTCAGCACAGAGTCATTGCTAAATTTCCCTGAGATGAGCCTTCGCTGATAAGCACCTGATTAATGCCTGACAAAGCCACTTCGTGAATTCTTATTGACTTTAACTAGCTTTCCATAAGGTCCCAAATTTAGGAATTCAAATTTAAGAAATCACCCTTGATTTGCTACAAAGAAGTAATATTACTGAATACTTAAACTGGACTTTTCCAAAAGTTCCAAATATTAAGTCCTATGAATCAAACCTGAATTCATCTCAGTTTTATTTTAGTTTATCTACCAATATTAATTAATTTTCTGAACTTACTCTACTGCATAGCTTTATTTGTGCATTTACATTAAGACACTAATATGGGAGAAGGGAAATTTTAGGATATCTTTCTACCTAAATACTATCTCCTTTTAATTTAAGCACAACAAGCCTAAACTTAATTTTTTCCATTCCTTAAAGTTATATGAATATTGCATAGAAACTAAATCATGCAATTATGATTTATGTTCTGATAATACTTTCTAAATATAATTACAATCCTAGTGGAGGATTTTCAAGAAAAAGGCATTTAATATCTCTTTATTAGGAAAAAAAAATTGAAATAAGATGAATTTTTCATTCCTTACCTTTGGAAGTTTATCTCTTCTGAGAAAAAGTGGAACTGCATCCCGACCTGAATTTGCTGGTGTAATTTCTTTCATATCAATTGTATCATCAGACAAGTAATAGTGCAGAACCAGTTCCCGCGGGTCATGAAACATGGATTCTGGGTCATCCCACACACAGAAAAAACGTAAAACATGTCCATCATGCTCCAGGAATTGTTTCAAAGTGTCAATGCGCTCATAAGGGCGCAAAGGGTTCATACTATCAAGAATCTGTAGATGAAGGAGAAATCAAGAAAATCACCTTTTTAATGACTTGCTCTTAAAGAGAAGATACCAAACTGCATGGTACTACCTGATCTTAGAACAGCCTTTTTGGATTTTCAAATGAAACTACACAATTACAATATATGAAATTATTTATGCCATTAGCAAAGAGCTATTCACAGTGTTGTTGTGCCCTCAGAAAATAAAGGAGAACAATTTTGGATTGGTTTTGACCCTTATTTTTCTTGCAGTAAGGTCCCTTAGATCAGGAAATTGTTAAATTATTTTTGGCATAGAGTATTTGTTGCTTTCAGTGTACTAAGCTAGATCTACCCCAACTGGATACATTCACCAACAGTCCTAAAAAGTCAGGAGAAAAATTCAGTGCCATCTGCCCTCAGATTAATCAAGAAAAACAGAAGCAAAAGGCGCTGTCATTATCCCCTGTATAAAATAAAATTATACTCTCCCTACTACTCATGGAGAAAAAAACCCAAACCCTGCAAAGAGGTTTGCAAATCCTTATAGCATCCAGCAGCTGAACAATGGGGATTTTGGGAGGAGGTATGCATTTTGTATTATGCATACTCATAAAAGTGGGAAGAGTTTTTATTCAAATAAAAACTCACATGTATAAAATAACAGCTGCAGAGTATTGGGTTCTGTGTGGCAGAAGAATTTGCTTTACACATGCAAAACACTGTTGATGACATGGGGTAGAGATGCAAGATGACATATGAAGAGACCAAGTAAACAAGTCTGCAGGAAGCCAGAGACATGTTTGAACCACAACTCCAATTGTATCTCCCTTTAAACACTTGCTTGTTGTCATTCATTCAGCTCGAGCAAAATTGTAAGTAGAACATGTAAGAGTTTGATTTTTTCTTTTAATACTGTGTGTATCCCCAGCAGCTGGCACTGACAAATTCAGCCATAAAGGAGAGCAGCTCAAGTGCTCATTTAAATTAGTTTAGCATCTTAACCAAACTAGGTCAGGAATATCCCTAAACCTCCCTGTTTTCAAGTGGCTAGAGAATGCCATTTCCACCCTATTTTATTTTTTTTTAAATTATGTGATGACCATTGACTCTTGGGGAGTTTTGTCCAACAGAGATCACAGAGTCTGACGTGCTTAAGGAAATGATATAATTGTAGTCACAGAATCTGTAGCAATACAATTTTTGTTTTCAGCAGATTTCCTGTGAGAATAAAGATTGCCATTCTAGCTCAAAGATCATTTATTTGATGCATTTTCTCTATTGTGTAGCATTTATTTTCACTGATCCACCAACTAATGTTTACAGATGAAAGTCATTTGTCTATAGTAGACATCAAGTAATATATAAAAATCCATGACAGTGCTATGCCCAGTCAATACTGCTGGTTAAAGTCTGAGGTGACATGAGAAAACACAGATCAACATTGATTATTACAAACCTGATTCATGTATCTAAGGCTGAAAGTAACTCATTCTATATAGATCGTAAATTTAACATTGTACAGCTATACTAGACACAAAATTTAGGGACAATTTTAATTTTGTGGGGTTTTTTTTGTGTGTTCTTTTTGCTATGAGAGACAAGAAGCTCCATCAGTTTTATCAAATTGATGTACAGACACACACAAGGCAAAGATTATTTTATTTTTACCTTATTTGTTTATTTGAAAAGGTGTGTGAACACATCAGGCGAAAATCAGTTATATTTGAGCCTTCACTATGTTTGTACAATGAACCATGTAATGGAATTTAAAAAGCAAGTATTTTCTTGTGATTCATTACATTGAAATAGCTACCTCTACATTCTTTCTGTTTGCCATTAGAGAAATATTTTATATTACTAATAGCAACAGCACTCTTATTAAAACTACGTATTCACCATTACAGCCTCATCTGACCTTTTGCCGCTCTTTGGTATATGGGTCATCTGGACGACTTGCTGGAGGATTCAATCTAACTCCCATCTTCCTCAGGAAATTTTTTGTGAACTGGTCACAATCGGTAATCTTATATCTTTGGGCATAAAAGATTACTTCTGTGTTGATGTTGAAATGATGTATAGTGTAGTACTCATCTTCGTTAGGAGGTGGGAGAGGAATCCGGTGACGTCGAACAATAGTTCCTGTACAACAGTTACAATACATTCATAGAGTGAATATCCTTTGCTCTGATGATCGTTTCACACACTTGCTAATTTCCTATGCTGGTATGACCAAGGCAGATGAAGCCATATGGGACAAGCAAAATTATCCTTCATTCAAAAACAGAACTACGAGGTAGGGCGATCCTGCTTTGGTAAGTGCACTACATCGCATTGATCACTTTCTAGAATCTCGAATTCTACACTCAAGTTAATACAGGAAGTTACCACCTTCTGAAACCAACATAAAACTACAGAAAAAAAAACAAAAAACTATTTGTTGGAACAAATGGAACAGGTCAGTACTTTTTCCAACAAGAACAGCAAAAACCTTTGCTTTCGTTAAGAAAAGGGATGTTTTCCACTTTTACTGAAAAGCAGTCTCCAGTACTCATTAGTAAAATTATTTTTCTTTTAAAAAAAAACGAACACAAAAGGTTGTGCAAAACAAATGTGGCAGGAGCATATGGGACAGCCAAGGTTTGTCTGTACACCCTGCAGGGTGAGAAGAGTCATACATAATTAAGGGTAGAGAAAAAGCTTGCCCTACTAAAGGAAAGGGTCTGAACTATCAAGCTTGAAGACAGGGGCATTCAACCAAGTTTCCTTAAAAAGTGGAGAAAAAAAAAAAAGTAGAATAAAAAAGAGAGAAAAAGATTTTAACTTCATTAAAGTCAGCATACATTTAAGTTTTCTTCTTTAGAATATTTAAATGAAAGGAAGCACTGTTGTTCTGTGCACGTTGCATTTGTTTATATTCACCATATTAAAAGAGAATGAAACTGCTATATGTCTATGAGCTGAAAACTCACATCGATGAATTGGTTAATGCTTCAAAAGTACTCATTGCTGATAATGAAGGGACTGGAGCATCTTTCCTATGAGGAAAGGCTGAGAGAGCTGGGACTGTTTACCCTGGAGCAGTAAAAGCTCAGGGGGGATCTCAGCAACACCTATAAATTAACCTAGATGATTCTGTGACCCTTTACTGAAGTGCTAGATACCTCTGGTTGCAAGAAGCTCAGCAGTATCAGCCAGGGGAGGTTTAGGTTGGATATTAGGAAGAACTTCTTTACCGAAAGGGTTGTTAGACATTGGAATGGGCTGCCCAAGGAACTGGTTGAGTCACCATCCCTGGAGGTCTTTAAAAAATGTTTAGATGTAGAGCTTAGGGATATGGTTTAGTGGACGACTTGTTAGTGTTAGGTCAGAGGCTGGACTGGGTGATCTTGGAGGTCTCTTCCAACCTAGATGATTCTGTGATTCTGTGAAATATGTGATGGGAGGGAATGAAGAAGACAGTGCCAAGCTCTTCTCAGTGGTGCCTGGAGACAGGACAAGAAGCAGTATGCACAAATTAAAAGATTTGACATTTCATCCAAGCACAAAGAAATGCTTTTTTATTGTGAGGGTGGACAGATACTGCAATAGGCTTCCCAAAGAGGTTGTGGAGTCTCCATCCTTGGACATATTGAAAACCAACTGGACATGGCTCTGGACAACCTTCCCAAGCTGTTCCTGCTTCAAGCAGGATCAGATAATTTTACGAGGTCCCTTCCAACCTCAACCATTCTGTGATTCTGAGACACCACAATTATTTCAAAAATAACCCGTAAGCTACAGCCTCAGTAGCTCAAACAAATACATAACACACACATTAAAGGAAAGCTATGCAGCTGCACATACAACAAGCTATGATTTATTCTGAGCAAAGTTAAGAGTTCACAAAGAACTGCAGACTGTCAAAGCTGGGACTACTGTTTTTTTCACTATGAGAGAATGAAGAGGACAACAGTGAAAGCTTTGCCACATCAATACATTAGTATAGTTGTGTGAAAATAACCCACAGAGAATAAAAAGATGGTCCAGTCTTCAAACTCAGCATCTTTGCTATGCTTACCAACTTAGATGTCCCTGTAACAACAGCTTTATAACGCAGATACCCTCTGGCTAAAACCATGCAGAAACCACCAAGCCATGCTATTAGAATAATCCCTTGCCACCATAGGTTCCTAACAACTTTACAATTACAGTAATTATAAAAGGTGCAACTTTAAAACAAGTGCAGTAAACACACAAAAATTCCAAAACTAAAAATAGTTCCCGTACTAACCTACCACGACAATAGTTTATTAGACACAATTATCTGAAAGGTCTATCTCATTAGCTCTCATTACAGAACTGGATCTCTTTCCAGTGCCCTTCAGCTGTGCATCTGGTAGTGCTTCCCACTGAGTCCCTTTTGATGATTCTCCAGCGCTGCTTTTTTTGTTTTGGGGGTAAATGGGAGTGGAGGGGGGATGAAAAGAGGCAGAGGAGGAGGGAGAAATATATTGCTGTGTATTTTTGTTTGGTGTTTGCGTGGCCTCATTTCCGAGTTAGCCCATGGAAATTCTTTATTGTTCACTTTATTTCCCTAGGGACTAATCTGTATGAAGTATTATCAGAGTTGTTTGTTACATTCTAACTCCTATAATGAGTAGTCTCCTATAATATAACTCTTGTAATTAGTCTAACTACCTTTTATTTTACTTTTTTTCTTTCTTTTTTTTTTTTTTGCAAGTGTGGGGAAGAGGAGAGGGCAACAAAGAAAATTTACTTTATATCCCTGTTAAAATACTTATTGAAGAGCTGTTCAATATCTTGATGTTTCACATGTACCAAATCGGCCGTTCTTGTTACTGACCTTTGACTGTAAAATAAATGTGAGCTTGTATCTGCTTAAACATACATACAGTTAAGATGCATCTTCATGGAAATATTAGTTAGAAAACATGGCAATTAGCACATTTTCACATGATGCAGCACTGCCTAACGCTACCATTAACAAAACCATGTATTTTGAAAATATATTACCTAATTTTGTCTAATCCTTGGGTTGCTCCCACAAAACTCAACAGACAATGTGCTGAATTGGAACAGCCCTCCACATTAATACAAATGCTGTTGAATCATCCTTTTAATTACAATATAATGGTTAACAATTTTCTGATAGGAGGTGCTATCTGAGGGTATATCCACCTCAGAAGTGGTAAATAAGCCTTCAGCTAGCATTTCCTATCACTTTTCAAAGTACAATACACGTGCCCATTTTGTTTTGAGGGGATAAGAATTTCTTTCCTAATGTAAAATGTCTTGTACAGATAATATCAATCCTAGCACTCCTTTATTTTTACTAGGTATCACTATGCCCAATCTACACGTGTAGAGAAGGTATTTTATATTGTTGAACTTGAAATTTAATAAAATGTGATCAGCTCAGGTTAGGTCTCAGCATTTTTTAAGTTGTCCCTTCTTCTGGAAAATAATTACTTTTCTACTTATAGAACTGTGCTAGAAATCATTAGAGGAGGATCTGTGCACCTGCAACAATCCTGTTGCTGAGAAAGGATGGATATTCTTGATGTTTCATTTGTCTTCTGTCAGTGTCTTGAGCAGGCTATCCTACTGCACTACCAACCAGGATTTTAAATATTTGCATCTGGTAAGTAAGGGCAAAGTTTTTCTACGCTGTGTTCTTGTAAAGGGAGTTAGTGTATTGCTTCTCTCTGACAATGGCGGTGCCAGCAAGTTTCCACGTCACAATTTTTATCTTCTCTTTTCTTAGGGTTTCTGGTTATTTGACAACTACAGTAGCAGCTTAAGGAGACCTTAATTGTAGTGGAGGACTTCTGCCTATGGGGTAGCTCGTGCAGCTGGGCACCACATGGTTTTGGCTTCTGCTGCTACGCTGCTCTGCGGAAGAAATAAAGCGGTATCAAGAATTTCCTCAGCACAGTTTACTGACTCCCTCTGCACTACTTAGGAGTGCATCAGAGAGGAGAGGAATGGGTAGCACCTGGATTTTGCACACTCTGCTTGCGCAGAAAGCAGAAGCAGCCACCACCATTCCTGCAACACAAAGAGTTCACCCCAAGAAAGAAGGGGGGCTTCTTCATTCACTTATGCCCGCCTCAGAACGTAGCAAGGTCAAGCTTTGGCCACCATCAAACATGGCAAAATCACAATTATTTCAAGGTCTCGGGGGAGGCCTCAAACTCTTAGATAATCAGTTATATTGGAGAAGCTGACTGCAGCTTCGCTTTCCTGATTGTGCTTTCCTCTTCAGCCAGCCAGCCTTGGGAGCCCCGCCAGCAGGCAGCCCCACTCTCTTTTTCATCTGGCTGACCTTGGGGAAACCAGCCAGCTGCTCTGCTCTGCTCCAGCTCTCAAGGCCTGGGTTGCACTGGAAGCTTCAGTTAACCTCATGGGACAAAAATGACCTTTAGATAAGACAGTATCAGCCAGATACAGTCCTTTTAACTGGGAGTTAGAGCTACAAACCACTTGCACCGCCCTATCTAGCTTGGCAACCTAAGGGGAGAATTTCTTTTTATACTGGGAGAATAATTATCATCTTGGCTTCAGAAAAACATTGTGCAGTTTGTTATGTGGTCGAGTTTACTGTCCTCCCCCCACTCTGTACTCCCTTATCTTTAATTAGTTCTCATGCACTGTGACTGTCCTGGTATTTTTTGCTTTGATTCTGGTTTCTCAAGTTCAGGTTGGCCTCTGCATTCCTTTGTGTTTTGCATTTTGAAATTTCTACAGTTTTCTTCTAATGCTTCTAATAATTTCCACAATATTTGTCAAACTATAGCAAGGCAGTTTCCAAAATTAAGTGTACTTTAAATTTTGGTTATTTAGTAGCAACCTTAACTGTCCAAAACAGTGTCCAAGTACAGCAGCCAATTCCATAAAGCATTTTTCTTTTTTCAACTCACTGAAATATGTTTCCCACACATCATTTACTTTGTCACTCTGAGATTTTGATCCCTGGTAAAAGTACATTTTCTGGCTTTTTTTTTTTTAAAGCCAATTTGTTTCAGCTTTGTAAAATCCTAATTGAATTTAGAAATTCTAACTTCTTTGCCAGGTGTTTCTTCACCAAATCTTCCCGCAGTCTGTAAGCCTCTCCAAGTTTTTCCCTGCAAAGCAGCAAGTACTACCCATGGGGGAGATTACAGTAGGAAACTACTACATTTCCCTAATCCAACCGTGCCCACAAAGACCTGTACAGACCATCAAGCTCTCACGTGTGGGATAAAGCACAAGAACTGGTAAACCAGTGGCCTCGAGGCATTAAGCAGCCAAGTGAAGACCTACCTTTGATCTACCCCACCACTTCTGTATTTACTCTTCAAGACGACTCCTGAGAACAGCTGTCTCTTTTACAGCTTTCCCACCTGGGTATATGTCCAAGTCAGGGTAACCCACCGTCTTCTGCAGATTAATTCCAAAACTTCAGCTCTTTTTCCATCACGGTTTTTTGCTTTTCCTCCTTTACGCAACCCCTTTCCTGCCACTGCAACGCTCCAAGTGTCCACGCAGACCGAGCCTGTCCTGCTCTTCAAATTCCCACACGTTTTCCATCATCCACATCCCCACATCTGTGCTCTTTTCTTCAGCACAGTTTGCACTTCCTTCAACAAGCCAAGTTCTGCTACAGTTGAACTCTCCTCTACAAAACCCGGACATTTTAATTAACTGAAATGTTTGATTTCAGCAGAGGTGCGGAGGACAGCATTATGGTTAAGACCCTGAACTTCAGCTCAGTTCAGTTCCTCTTCCTGTTACAACCTTTTCTTTTTTTTTTATATGATCATGGGCAAGACTCATTCCTTTGTGATTCAGCCTAACAGCCTCACTATGCAGACAGCTGGGCTTCTGCTCCTTTCAGGCCTGAAGTATTCCTAGTCAGGACAGGGAATTTGAATAATATAAGAGATATAAGAGGCAATGGGCGAATTTTTAATCGAAAACTGAGTTAAGCTGGCAGTTAAGGGTTTAAGCGCTTCCTATATGTATACATATACACATATCAAGCACTTTATAGATTAAGCATTATATATATATGCTTATTTAAATAAGCACTATAAGACTGCTTCTATATATATTTAAGAACAATTATTTATCACCCTTAAGATAACAATTTTGTGGCTGTTCTTCATGTATGAAGCATATAGTCACTACCCAAGTGCTTAGGAGTAAAGAATTTGCTGACATTGGCAAATTGGCATTGGCAAATTATCATGAGAATTGGCATCTCATCTCTTTTTCTCCCCTACATCACACATTTATCTCCAGCATAAGCAGAGTTATTAATGTGGATGCTTATGACAAAGCATAGGCCCAAGATCTTCTCATTGGCTGTGAAGCCTAAACACATGAAGAACAGTTTGGGGGCCTTTCAATCTACACTATCTCTTCCTTCCTACATACATTCAATATACTGAGCTTCCTTACCAGCCCAACTGTCAGCAACAAATAAATTAAATGCTCTGTTAAGATCCCAGAATACTTCTTTTTAATCCATCCAGTTAGTGTTTTCTACACACTCATTTATCCCACAAAAAGTGCTCATGCAAAGCCGTAGAGGCCTTCAAAACATCCACACACAGAACACAGAAAATTCCTGTTTCTCTCTAATACAATCCAGTTCATTTTAGATCCAGTACCAAAGATGACTTCAACAGCCATTAACACAAGATACAACCAAGGAAACGGGGGGAAATTGTAGCCTTCCTGTCACCACAGGAACACGACTAGACTGCCAGGAACATCAAGCCGAAGAAGCAGCCTGCACAACCCATACTGCAATGACAATGACTCATTTCTGTAGCCAGTTTCAAAGCCATCAGCTTTGAATTTGCTTTCCTGCTGTAATAAACCTGGCTTCCACCTTCCCTTTCAGAGGCGTCACCTCTGCCTCTTAGGTTAACTGTGCTTCCTTTGCTGATGATCATCTGTTCAAAGCCACATAATCCAGAAACAGCCACTCCCATGACACACAAGTCAAGGAAAACCTACATCTGAGGGCACCTCCAGCCTCAGACAGATGGCTGCAGGGGGGGTAAGTGTCTTGTAAATTCCCAGGTGAAGAGATCCAATGTGCTTTTCTTCGGGTCGTGAAAAAGCACTCACCCAGGCAGGAGTATGAGTAGGAGACGAGGTTCCTCTGAATTCAAAATCAGTTCCTACTGAACAGCCAGCAAGATTTCTGGCAAGAAGAACTAATCAACAGAGGAAAAGCCAGGTTTGAAGTACTAGTTTAAGACGATAAGATTCCCAGGCAATTTTATCCCAAATATACCTGTGATGATGAGCATAACACTTTCAAATATTGTCCTACACTGTAGATAGGTATATTTATGGATCATACCTGATCACCTTGGAAAAGAATAGGGCAGTTAAAAGGTTAATATTTTTTTAATTGCTTTGCAGCGATCCACCAGAATGTACAGAATATCTTCTGGGATTGGGAGGCGCGGTCATCCCAAGATACTCATCCCAAAGACATCCTGCTTATCTGGACTACATCCCTTGCAAAACTTTTTAATTCTGGCAGTGACCCATAAACACCAAGAAGCAGCAGCTGTGCTCCTCTTCTGCAACAGGATGTTGACCGCCAGCTCACATTTTCTTTATGTAAACCAACTTCATTAATACTCCAGTAAGTCAGTTTACTAAACCTTTCTCCAAAAGGTCCTCAGGCTGGCTCAAGCACAGTAATACAACTCTGAAGCAAGGCAGAATCTTAACTTAAAGGTGTCAAGAAAAAATTACTGACCAAGGGCATTTAATCATAACCAACAGCCAGAGGCACAAAAGGTGCTCTGCTTTAGTAATTGCAGAGAAACCTGAAGCATCTAAGGAACAATTACAAAGATGCAGCTAGAGAACTTATTATCAGTGCCAGGACAGGAGGATCCAGGCTCAGGAATGGAAATCTAGAACACAAATCGCTTTTGCAGAAGTGACAGTATATCAACAAAAGACCAACTATCATTTGACTTCTAACTGCTACATTAGAGAAAAAAAAAATGTATGTGTGTGTAGGAGGGGATTCTGCCTTATAAAACCTACTTCTTCAAAATCTAAGGCAATAAAAGAGTTCACATTGTGATCCGTAACAAGAAAAGATAATTATAGCCATTCACGTTACTGCCCATTTTAAGTATAAGAACTCACGTTATGTATCCTTAAAAGGGACCGAGAATGTGCTGAAGATATATAAAGGGAAAAAAAAAAAAAGGTGATATTAAAAATACGTACCTTGCACTATGCCACTGTTTTTCACTCGGGGTTCAATCACTTGAATTGTATCATCTTCAAGGTAGAAGTATATTTTACAGTGTCTTATTCTATATAGCTCTTGATTTTTGTCAGGCACTTCTTCTTCTACATAGGCATCAAAAGACAATACCTATTAAAAACAATAAATATACATAAAGCAGCAAAATCTTCAATGCTTTTGCAAAATGCATCAATAAAATAAACTTATATAGACTATAAGCTAACTAAATGTATGGATTTCGGGAGGTAGATTTATTTCTCAGAAATGTAAGAATGGAAATCGACATTAAATCACATAAATTTAAAATTCTTTGCTTGGCATTTTTATTATCACAACATCTAAGCAGAGATAGAACCCTACAGTAAAGAAATAAATCAAATATAAAACTACCAGCAGGCTGCTTGGAAAATCTTCTGAACAAAGCACTTTTGATAGTACAATGAGCTACCTAGGTCATGAAGAGAATTTTAGACTTCTATTCAATGAATTGCTGGAAAATAAAGCACATTCTGACAGTAATGGCTTTACCATTGAGGTAAGTGGAAAGGAGAGTTCTTTTTAAGCAGATCATGCAAGCTGTCTAATGAATGCTATGGAAGACTATGAGAAAGGAATGATATTTTTTCAGGAGTCACTTAGAGCTGTGCAATACTAGCATTTCAAAATTTACCTGGTTCTGCAATTCAGCCTTCATGGTCTCTTGTAATGACAATAATGCAAGAAAAAAACCTCCATAGGTGAGGTGCTCAGTGGTTTGTTCGAGTGGCCTTAATATCTGGAGAGCCTAGATCAAACCACGCAAACCATTACGCAAGTTTTGTACTTCTTGGTGTCATTTATGGACTTCAATCACCAAAACCAAGCTTAAGGGAAGGCGTAAGAAGTATATATTTATTTGTGCATTATCTACCAGGATGCTTGATGTGGTAAGGATACACAAGACAGTATTAATAAAAAATAGGTTTCCACTAGCAGAACATTTGGGTCAAATCAGTGCTAATTCATACTTCATTTTTGTAACGATTAATAAATTCAACAACCTTTATTCTTGATTCATTAGACAAAATGAAGCACTAGAAAAAAAGACAGCTTAGCTGCTCCCTGTTTCAATGAGCATCTGGCAGACCTGGGCTTGAAAACATTAGATACCTAGTCAGCCATCCAAGATCCCTACATGACACAGAAAAGATCAGTCTGTATTTCTTTAACACATGTTTTTGAGAATCTCAAAGTACTTCCATAAATACTGATGGCAGAGATTTCAGAATGCCCTACTAGAGAAATACAACCTCGTTTTCTACATCTAGAGAGACAGAGCTAGTGGCTCGCTCAAGAGCACACAAGAACGGCAGCCACCCTGTGTTCCAGCCAGATTTCTCAATGGGGCAGTCTCCCTCTCCACCATTAGGGAAATTAAATTAAAATCAAATTACATAACTGTTAACTTTTACATCTGATTGACTGTGATCATACAAAAGAATCTAGACACTACGGATTTTTTTTTTGTTTAAGTAGTAACACATGCATGTTTCTGAACAACCTACAGACAAAATAGTTTAAAATAAATAAAATGCATTCTAGCCACATGTAATTTTTAACTGTGGATTTCACCATTTCATGTATCAAAGGTGAAAATTCTGGATAAAACGATGTATGTCAAATTGAAAAACTGACATACAACGAAGGCAACACAAACAACTTCATCACGAAGCTGGTGAGGGGCCTGGAGAGCAAGTCCTATGAGGAGCGGCTGAAGGAGCTGGGCTTGTTCAGCCTAGAGAAGAGGAGGCTCAGGGGTGACCTTATTGCTCTGTATAAGTACATTAAAGGAGGCTGTAGCGAGGTGGGGGTTGGCCTGTTCTCCCATGTGCCTGGTGACAGGACGAGGGGGAATGGGCTAAAGTTACGCCAGGGGAGTTTTAGGTTGGATGTTAGGAAGAATTTCTTTACTGAAAGGGTTGTTAGGCACTGGAACGGGCTGCCCAGGGAGGTGGTGGAGTCACCATCCCTGGAAGTCTTCAAAAGACGTTTAGATGTAGAGCTTAGGGATATGGTTTAGTGGGGACTGTTAGTGTTAGGTTAGAGGTTGGACTCGATGATCTTGAGGTCTCTTCCAACCTAGAAATTCTGTGATTCTGTGATTCTGTGATCTCTTCGTCCTTCTGCTTGTCTAAACATAGCTGTATAATGCCATCGATGGTGACCAAGCTGTCTTACCTGGTGCCTGGCTGATACCCTAGAAGGACCAGGAGGCCTGTGTAAATCTCTTGAATACTCCAGGGGACTTAGAAGGTATGAAATATATCTGGTGGAACCACTGTTTCCTACCTAGTCTGAGCAACCTGGGGCTCAACTAACAGGGAAGCTGAGTTTCACCCCTTGCCCAGCTGTTGCTAAGCCATGCAACCACAGGATGCACGTACCCTCTTCTCCCCATTCTGACAGTCCCACTACAATTGGTTGACAAACATTGTTCAACTATTTGATTATTAATTCTTTTTAGTTCTGTTACTGCTCTTTTCTGTCTCCTGACACCAGCCAGGTGAAAGGGTCTGTTTGCACACACCTCCCAGCACAATCACGTCCTAAATACACCATATTTATTCCTTTCACTGACCGTATACTTTTGTCGTGGTTTACTTCATTGGACGAGTTTGTACAAACTATTTTGCACTTAAACTTTATTCTCTGTATACCCTTCATTATGAGCATGCTAGTGTACAACTACAATACATTCAGCAGCCAACCGCAATGTTGTAGATCGAAACAGATAATTCAGGAAGGGTGAAGAGGTGAAGGAAGGAACATAAAAGATGACAACTTATTTTTCATGTTAAAGCAAAGTTAATTTTAGAAATAGTCAAAGTTCAGCACTTCCTAACTTGTGTGTCATCCGTAGTATATTGCTGTGTACAAAGTGCCCACTTTTTAAAAAAAACTTGGAGTTAGGCATGAAAATAAAAAGTAACAAATATTGAATAAACTCAGTGGCATATTGTAAAGTTGGCACAAGGTTTCCCAAGGTAGTCAAATTATAAACATCTTTTCAAGCCCAGGAGGCCTTGTGTGTGTACTTAATCATTGAAGAAATTAAATTTACACCTGCTTCCTATTAGGCATATGAAGTTGCAAAAACTATTTCGTAACCCACTTAATAAGATGTATTAAGCCTGTCCTTCCTCCAACAAACTGGCATTGCTGAAAGCTAGAAACCAAAGAAAAATGGGTAAGAAAATAGACTACATTTAAGAAGATAAACATCTCTTCAAGCTATGTTTCTTAGGGTCCACTTTGCTGAGTCACAAACTGCAGCACTGGCAGGCACAGCTGCATTCAAGGCTCTTACCAGGGGAGGCTAAATTAGCTGGGCAGTATCCTTTAACTGTCTGCAATTAATACAAAGGCATGAGCCCTCCAGGAGCCAATTCCAAACCTGTGAACTCCTGCCCTGTATTGATTGCCCTGTGGAGGAAGGAATACAGTGACTAGACGAGGAGAGTAGGAAGGCCAGCTAGATCATCTCACCGGCCAAGTTCAGTGCCTGATGTTCAGAGGCAGGTCCCCACTGCCTCCTGTACAACCCCTTTATGTCATAAACCTGGCTCCAAACCCTACAGACCCGTACTGTGTACGTCCCCAGGATGCCAGTGCACACCTCCCCATTGAAAGAAGGGTGCAGATAAAGCATGTGCAGGACTGGCTGAGGCCTTCACGCTTTGTCACATTATACAAATTTATATTCCAGCACATTGCTGAAAAATTGGTGAGCAATACTAGGCCCTTCAGAGACAATGCTAACCAAAATCACGTGCATCTGTATCAAGTCTTACATTTTCTTGTAGTAGTTCTGGTCTGCCAAGGAGGCAATAACTGCACTGAAATTACCTGCATGACTTTCATTTTAAAACAAAAATTATGATTAGTCATTCCTCCCAATATTTAAATACCTTAATCATTTTGTCATGCAATATTTCTGCAATCTGCTGAATGATTTCTTTTTCTGTATCTTTTTCCTTCTCTGATTGTAGGCTTTTTGCTTTAGAAATACACCATCGCCAAGTAGCACTTAATGTAAATTTAAAAATGGAAAGTAATGACAGCATGCTACAAAATTCATATCATCCTAGATCACATTTATTTGTTAACTCTCTAACTTCACAGGTGTCACTACACACCTACAAAATAAATATATATATATATAATATTAATTTTAAATTCCTGTGCTTGTAACAGGCACAATCTACCTATATCCCTACACGTGAACAGTTCACATAAAAGTCAACAGGACTTTGAGCAAGCAAACATGACTGGATAAGTGAGTTCTGAGCCTCGAGCACTGCACTGCGGTTAGTGGTTCCCGTGTGCCCATGCAAATTTTCTCCTGGATTGGGGCCCACCTTACATTCTTGTAGCTACACATTTCCTTGTTTGGCCATTTGAAAAGCAATGAAAAAAACTGGCAAAGGAGCACATTTGTTCTTAACAGGTTGCCAATTAATCACTTGCTGTCACCATTTACACACACACACACACACAAAATAACCACCCTCTTACTTTTATTATCTCCTGGAGGAGATGTACTCCAATACATAAATGTTTTGTTCCTATATAGCATGATGTATGTTTACATTAATTGTACAATATATCAATACTACCAAAAAATAGTAGTTATCCCTCTTTAACTAGGAGCTTTTTTGGATGCATAAAGTAATCTTCCCAAGTAACCTTCCCAAGACTGACTGAATTTCACTTTCTTAAGTGCAGATACAGATTTGTATGTACTTACCTGTTTGTCAAATGCTACCCAAGCAGGAGCATCACTCCCCATCCCTGCAGGAAACACGCTGTATTTAGGTTTCAGCTTCTGTCCAGGTAATGGTTCACCTCCTATTCCAGGTTTATCTTCTCCGACCAGCATAGCAACATTATTGCAGAAACCCCAGTGCTGTGATTTGTGGAACTTTTCTTTCCCTAACTGTTAAAAGTTTGGAAGAAAAGAGAGGAAACAACATCTGTGTGTTTGTTTTTAAATCCTTAAGAGTTAAATAAAGAGTTACCTAGCTACACAATAGAGGTTAATCACATAAAAGTTTCTCTATAATTACTTTTAATAGAGTCTAAAACCCTGAAGCAACTGGAATGCAGCAAGTGAAGCGATACATTTCAGTGGTCAATGTGCTGGCCCATCTTAAAAATCAAATCAGAAAGGTTCCAGTAATGCATCCACACTAAGAAACGGGGTGATATTGGCTGCTTTACCCTACCTGTTCCCAGTAATAAGGACTGAGGCACGTGGTGGAAGGAAGCAAGTCACCCACAAGATCTTCTGCAAAAGGCCGAGGGGAAAAACCTCCAGAGGACAACCTGAAAGGTTCAGGAGTACCCCGAGAGCAGCTTGCTCTCGTTACCTACATCAAATATCTTATTTACATTCACAAAGCAGAGTGCTAAATAAATGCTAGTGAATATCAGAACTGATGCCATGCATGAGCACAGGGCAGGCCATGAGGAGATGCAAAGGCTGGACAGCAGCACTTTGAGAGCAGCAAGGGTGTCGGTAATGCTGCAGAGGGACACAACTGCCTCTCCTGCTGAATTTGGAAGACTGAGCAATGCTAATTATAGCACAAGTACTTAAACTGATCCTCCCAAAAAAGGTGTAGACAGCATGAAGTCGAATCAAAAATTCAGTGACGCTTTTCACTTAGAAAATATGAAGTGAATGAAAAATTGGCCAAGAGTACCAGCAAAGGGACAAATCACTACTTGTCAGGTTACAACCGCAGCTGTTTGCACACCCTGCAGAGCTCTAAATCCAATGCCATGGGTAGGAGAGCTGCCCTTTGCACCAACAACTCAACCCCTACCTTAGTCTAATTTCTGCTTAAAATGCAAGGAGAGTGGTATGCAAAAGAATACATGACTTAGTATTTTTACAACTGCTTGTTTTTAATACCATAATAATAAATTGCCATTCCTTGCTTACGCTGACGAAGGCTGAGCTAGCCAGCACCCTTCAAAACAAGAAGCCCTGAACCACATCATTTTTATAAGCCAAGAATAAGGGTAACCAAATAAAAGAGAAAATTGATGCAAGGAAAGACTTGTTTGTGTAGCAAACAGTCAGCTCGTGGGCCCCCCTGCCACGCAGCACCGCTCAAGCCAAGAATTTAACAAGATTAAAAGAAGAGCTGTGGATTTGCAGGAGTAATTCCCAAAACAAAATATGTAATGTCAGCATATTTTTTTGAGCTGGGATATAAAATTTTGTGCTTCTGTGCACAGCGTAAGCACTGACCTGTGGGCATTAGGAGGTGGTCATCCTACCCATCCTTGAAGACCCCACCACAGGTGCCCACTGGCCCAGACAGGCACCGGCTGGATCTGGCACCAGCTCTACAAAACATTTGCAACTGGGATGGGTTTCTCCCTTTCTTTTGGACACTACTGAGCTGCCCTTTCCTGTTCTGTTCCTTTATTATTATTAATTTCGTTCCTCGGTAATTTGATAAAGAGCTGGGGAGAAGTCAGAATGGGAGGGAGCTTTCTGCATGTATTAGGCCAAATGTGGAACAGCTAGAGTCAGGCTGGGTTATAAAAGGGAAATTTGTAGGCGGAAACATCTGGTTTACACTGAAGGCTCTATCCAGCAGATTCACCTTTTGGCACCACAAGTATTTAATTATTTTCCCCCTACTACCAAAGCATGAGTTAGGGAGAAAGGCACAGTTATCAAAGCACAGTGAGCGAGAGTGACAGTTATCCTGAGGAAAGCTCTTCATGTCCTCAGAGCATCTTCTAGAGGCATTTTCTGTTCATCCATTACTGGGTTTTGGTGAGTTACAGCGTGGCAAAGTGTTTGTTAAAGAAATCCAGGTTTGATCCTGCTGGAAATTTTCCAGAACTGAGTGATCACAACAAAATTCATGATTTCATATGAAAATTAAGTGGTCCAACAGCCGCAATTCTATTAAGATTCTTTTGTGGAGTTCCTGTAACTTTTTAGGGTTTGACAGAAAGATAATTTTAGATCATTCATCTCTGAACTACTTATAAAAACCCCTTCTCTGGGAACATCACCTAAATCTATATGCAAAACAATCTCTTCCAAAAATCTGAGCGAGTTATTTCTTTTAAGCAAAAACGTAATTGTAATTGAAGATCACAGAAGAGAAAAATGACATTTTGGAAACCTCAGCTAATGAGCTCAGACCTCATTCGGCCCTAAACAGTGACAGACCATCACATTACATCCACAGTAATACCAAAGGATTTCTAAAAGGAATCTGTGGCAGTGCAGGGAAGGAGCTTTACTGTGTCTGCCGTGTGAACGCAGGCTGTAGATCTGCTGAGCAAAGCTGGCCATCTTCTGCGAGGTGAGCCTGAAATAAATATTGGGGATACACCGAGCAGTGATGAATGCAAAGGTCAGGATTCTCTGACTGCAGCTTTTGGCTTTGTGAGCTCAGCCACTGCAGTCCCTGGGGAGCACTGCCTCGTGCTCTCTGCATCTTGCTCCGGCCCAGAGTCACAGCGAGCTCACCAGGGAGCTGCACAGCTCTGCTGAACCAAACAACTGGAAATCTCTCACCGCAGCCGCTGTCTCGGGGGCCACAGCTTGTTAACCAAGTCCCACAGGGAGTTAGGGCTGCAGCCACTGGCAGCACTCTGCTGCTCTTTCATACCCATTTTTCATGACCACCTTGAGAACAACAGCTGCACCGTGGAGGTCCGGCTCAAATCCTGTGTCAGGATGAACTGTGACACTTCTGAACTACCCAGGACTGCTGAGAGCATCCTGGTTGCTTCAGCTACACCATGGAAATGCGTGCAAATGCTGCAAACTCTGCCAGTGAAATGCATGCGACCTCCTTCCCCATGGAAAGCACAGGTCACCAGCAGACAGAGCCGAGACAGGTAGCAGAAGTTCCCACAATATTTACGAGTAGCATGTCTCACAAAGCTAGCACTCGGTTCCTAGAGGAAAGCCACATTTAGTCACTGATTTTCCAGTCGTGTTTCATCCCCGGCTGGCTGCAGAGGTTTCAGTATTGTCCCCAGCAGCCGTGGTGCCCCTCTAACACACCCCACCCAGGACAATATGCACCAACATCAGCCACCTGGAGCAGAACGAGGAGCTTGCTCTTACTGCTGGAGCTGGTACAGCCTGGAGACAACAGGAGGATAGAAAGGAGAGAGGCCAAAACGCAACCCTGATGGGAAGCTGCAGGGAGGTTTGGGATGGGGGCTGTGAAGAGGCAGAGGTTGGAAAGCTGTCTGCCAAGAAAAACTAATGCCCCGTTTTGGCACCGATGATTACAGAGCAGCGGGAAGTAGTTAAGGCAGGAAACCCAGACCCGGCAACAGCAGCACAGCTGAGGGTGATCCCAAGCTGCTGCAATAAAGGAGAGGGGGAATTTGCGCTGCGCCGCCAGAGGTTGCAGCAGAAGCTGATACTTTCAAGTACAGACTTTCCCCCCCGAGATCTATAAACTCATTGTCTGAGCCTCCAAGAAATACCACGCAGAACTGCTGGAACGAATCCTCCCTCTGAGGGGGATCTCCAACCTCAGCTCTTAAATGCTCACTGCAGCTTAGCTGTGGGCTCCTAAAGAGGAATTTAAAGAGGTGAAGGTGGTTGATTGATGGGTGGCTGTGCCCGTACCCCAGCTGCTGTGGTTTTGATTCCAAAGAGATCTGAAAAAAATGGGCGCAGTTCCTTTTCATCTTTTTGTGGACTGTCAATATTTTATGCTTCTGACGCCTTCTGCTAGCAATCGCCCTTCTCCCCCCCCATCAAGCCAACCATCAAACATGGCATTGCTGGGCTAGGCCTGTCGCTTTCATCCCTGCTCTTCGTTCAGCACAGAGGAAAACACGGTGTTACGTTACCGTAGGAACCACTCCAGCTATTTTGAAAGCGTCTGTCACCTTGCTGTATTACCCTCGACTCCAATTAGCTGATGCCCGAGCAGTTAGACTTTGTCACAGCTAAACAGAGCCGCAGCGGCAGCAGCGGTCTTGGGGAAGCTGCTGAATTGGAAAGAGGCGCCAGTCACTTACGTTTACGGGGAAAAACAACAAGTGGAAACCAGACAAGGGTTGCTGCCCTTTGCAGCGCCAGCTGCAAGCTGCCTGGCCTCACAATTCGTTGTCTTCAGCAGCAAGGGGAAGATGTGCTCAGCTTGAGGTGAAGCTTTGCCATTTGTAGGCTGGAGAGGAAGCAAACAGTCTTGGTAGAGCTGTCGATGTGTAATAATAATCATAACGGAGCGTAATGCAAGGGCCACTGACTCTTAGATAGGAGGCTCTAAGCGCTGTGAAGGGATGTCTTAATTCCCACTTGCCAAGGGCAATCAATCCAGGGAGTTTGGCTGTGTTCCGGACCACCTCAAAGCCCTGATTTGGTGGAGTCAGCTCAGCCTCCTTGTTAGACACATGCAAGCCAGATGAAATGGGTAAGCACACCTCTGTCATTGCCTTCCATTGGCCTTTATATGCAGCAGGTAGCACTGGGGGCCAAGAAGAGAGGATTGCAGCAGTAACTTGAACAGTGCTAAGAGCAGGAGCGGGATTAATACCCGTAACTATAACTGAAGGACTGACAGGAACAGCAGTCCCCCATCCCCTGCTCATCCTTCTCCAGGGAACGCTTTGCTCCTGTTGTTTCTGTGCGATAAGATGCCCTGATGGCAATGTTCAGAGCACTAGCATGAAAATACCTGCTTTCTTTTCCGTGTACAGTAGTCAAACCCTTTTTTTTTTTTCCCTTTAACATATTCTCCTTGGCCTCTCATTTGTATGAAAATTAAATTACACCTAATTACACGCTGTATGTACTTCAGCATGGGGTGCTCAATGCTGTCTACACGTAGCTTGTGCAAACTTGTGTAGCCAAGCACTGTGCCTTATCTCTGAGAGAGGAGACATCATGTCTCTATCACAAAGCCTCTTCACTGCTGCTGTGGGGCTCTGGAGACAGCTCCATCATACTCCAAACACAATAATCTCCATCAATTAAGGTAAATGAAATCTGGAGAACAATAAAGTCCTGCATAACCCCAAGCTGAGCTATTCTATTTCCATCTCGCAGACAGGAATGGCGCACCCCTATTTCAATGCTGCTGATGTGCTCACTGTGGGGTGTTATATACACAACCAACTCTTTATAGGACAAATTTGAATGTAGCAAGACAGACTGAGTGTTCAGCAGCCCATCTTTCCTTTCTGCCCTTCTAAAACAACGGCACCCAGCCTGTTGTTCGCAGGGAAAAAATTGCCTGAATTATCCTCAGTGCCGTAGGCTGGGCTCCTCCTGCAAGAGGTCCTGTGTTGGCACAAACCCACACACCAAACGAGGCTGGGGAGTCCAGGTATTTCTGCACAATTTTGCTCCCTGTAGGGCCACCTGGGCAGCTGCACCTGCCTCCACCAGCCCTTGTTCTTTGGAGAGAGCTTCCTGGAGGCTTTCCACCAGATTGCACCTCATGCAGGCTGACTTACTGCTCGGAGCGGGCTCCCAGGAGACAGCAGGGAGCAGCCTCACCTTGAAGGGCTTCCGATGCTTGTGGTGTCACTGGCATCAACGCAGGCAGCTTGACAAATGATGTGGAAACCCTGCCCGAGCTATGCTATCACCTCACCTCCTGGACCAGACTCGGGAGCAGCCAGGCGGCAGCAACCAGGGCTCTGACGGCCACGACTTGTCCCCAGCACGATACAGGACCCCCTTGCAGGCACTGTGGGGTTATTAATGAAATCCCACAGCTTTCCCTGCCTCCTGAAGGCTTCCCAAACCCTTCCTTACCTCCTGCCCCACGTCAATACACGGTACTGTGGTCATACACAGAAAATTATCGCTGCTGAGCGAGCTTGAAGAGGCTTGGCTTTTGTCAGCTACGGTAGCTGACGATAAAAATGTTTTTTTTTGGTACATTCCCGGCCTGCCCCGGGTACCTCACAGCCCTCGCCCTACGAAACCGTTGCGGCTCTCCCCTGCCAGAGACCCAACCCGCCCGAGGGCGGCTGCCAGGTCCCTCCTCCCGGCCTTGCTGGCGAGGCATCCCCGCTGTTAATTTGCTAATGACGGCGGGGCTCCCCCCTCACTCACGGTGCGGCCGAGGGACAGCCCCGGCGGCAGCGGCTGCGGCGGCGGCGGCGGCGCCATGGCCCGGCCCGGCCCGGCCCCTCCGCGGCGGCCGCCGTTGCCTGGAGACGGGCCGAGCGGCGCCGAAAAGAGCCGAGAGGTTCCGGAAAGAGCCGAACGGCGCTGGTGAGGGGCCGAGAGGTGACGGAAAGAGCCGAGCGGCGCTGTTAAGGGGCTCCGGAAAGAGCCGAGCGGCGTCAGCGAGGGGCCGAGATGTGACGGAAAGAGCCGAGCGGTGACGGAAAGAGCCGAGTGCAGCAGTGCCTCAGGGGTTGGGGGGGGGACTTCTTCCACATCATGTCTGACTTGGGGGCCCTGGTGGGCTTGGGGGAAGCGTGTTTGGGGAGGTTTCACGTCTTTTTGTGTATTTTTTTTCATGTTACCCCAACGAGATCGTGAAACTAGTGACCTAGCGTTAGGTTACGCACCTCGCTGCGGCGAGGTGAACGTTTAAAAGGTGTTTTAAAACCAAAATGAAAGGAGCCCTCGTTGCACTCGCGCTCGTTTCATGTGGTGGGTGGCGTTAACGCCGCCATTTAAATTGCAAACAGGAGGCGCAGTGAGAGTTTCTCACGGGTGGCTTGGGAGAGGAAAGCTTATTCCCTTCATTAAAGCTCACATTTTCCTGGTTAACAAGGCAGGACGTCTCCCAGGTCGCCTCCGGAGCCCAGCACCCTACGTGCTGCTCCTCCATTTTGTACAGGGCTCTTCATGAGCGTATTTTTTTATCTTTTTTTTTTTTTTTTTTAATTGGAACTGTTTCTAATAAAATAAACAAATGGATAAAGTAGTTAGCCGAAACCCAAATATTTACATTCTGTCACGGCTCTCGTGCTGTCTCGGAGGAGCTGCACTTCAGCTGCTCGACGTCCTCCTTCTCGTGGATGGAGTGGATCTCCCCTGCCGTATTTCGTACTCCGTGGTGCATCAGACCATGAAATTCCCACAGCACATCGTTTCTCATCCCTGAAACAGGCTCGGGGAGCAGCACGGGCGATGTTTTCGGTCTAAATGAGACCAGGAGGCATTCCCCGCGCAGCTCCCGTGGAACGCTCTTGTGGCGCTTGCTGTCAGTTTTATTTTGTCAAAACGTTCTGGTTTCAAAAACTCTTTAATTTCAACAAAAAAAATCCTTCATTTTTAATTGTTTCCAGAAATTTGAAAGGGGGAAGGGAAGGAGGGAAAGAAAGCTGTGCAAATTCTGGAAGGCTATTGCCAGGCATGCAAGACTTTGCTGTTCTCCAGCTCTTCAGCATCACCTGTTTTTTTTACATCTGTGTGATCCTTTTAATACATCTTTGTGTATCTGACAAGCATTGCACAGGAGACAGCAGTGTACTCATAAAACATACCTTTAGGTTTTCACAGCTTTCATTAGTGAGGATCTTCAGGAAGAGGCTCCAAAGCATTTCTACATGCCAATATGCCTCTCCGAAATCACTGAGCCAGCGTAGCTGCTGCTGCTTTGTACCCAATTTCCACGAGCCCCATGCAGCTGGTGGCACAACTTCTTATTTGGAATAGCAGCCGTCGTGAAAGCACGGCAGTGAAGAATTAGGGTCTCTTTTCACTGCGTTTATCCTCTGGTATCTCCTCTTCGGTTTTTGTGGCTCATTACAGAGTGGGGCAGTTGGAATGTTTTAGTACCCTCTCAGTGTTGATAATAAGCTGGTGCTCCACGGTTTCGGGCAGTACAGGCAGAGGCTACACAGGTGAAAAACGTGCGAGGGAAACAGCAGCAGCACTTTCTTAGGAAGGTGAGTGAAGTGGATGGAGACTACAATCCATTTCCAACAGAAAATCCGGTGAATCCTCCCTGACCTTTGGGTCAAGTCGTTCTGCTTAGGATTATTACCTTCTGCCTCATCCCATAAAGAAGCCGCAGGGAGCTGTGGAGAAGGAAAGGAAGCATCTGCCCAGTACACCAGAAGCACAGTTGCAATATGATGTGTTCTGCCAGTCCTATTTTTTTTTTCTTTCAAATGTGGAAATATAAAAAGAATACGTTCTACTTAGAGCAGAGTTTCTTCTTTCTACAATACCTTCTCTTTGGGGTTTCTCTCACATGTTTATTTTTTTTTTGTTCCTTGCTGTATTCACTCAAGAATACAGACCAAGTGAAAACAAATTAATTTTAATGCCTTTTCTGGGAAAAATAAAAGTACTACAGGAAAACCATTTTTGATAAAAGCTTTTTATTAAATGAAGATTGCTAATGACAACAAAGGCAAGCGGTAGGCAGTAGTAAATTAACTATATTCTGACAGTACTCCAAGGATAATCGTGGTGAATGTACATAGGACTGCATTAGTTGTACAGTTCAAAGGAGGAAGAAAGCGAGGGAAGCTAAAACTGGGGAAAGCACGGAAAAGATTTTGGAGTTAAAAAGACATAGATGCTAATCTCTTTTTATTGGGATTGAGTTTTACTAGCAAACTTGAAATCAGTAAGGATATTCAAACTGTAATCTCAGCAAACTTTCCAGAAACAGCCTTGTGTTTTTTTTGTGTGTTTTTTTTTTTTTTTTTTATATTGCTTTGAATCTGACCAAATGGCTCCAGGGTCCATTTGTCTGAGTGGAGGACCACGTCCAACCTATGCACTTCATCCCTCTCCCTGTCTCTCTTTTGCAAAATCTTTGGAGAACTGAAACTTCTCTTCCAGTCATGTTTTGAGCACTTTGTTTTCCAGCTGGGATCACATCATAGTTCAGAATCTGACTCCTGGTTTATTCTGTCTTCAGATCAGAACGAAAAGCTGCCTGCACTCACAAGAGGAAGCAGTCAGACATCATTCAGCGGTGTGAGGGGGAAGCCTTACCTTAGCCAAAGTTATGTCATTTCAGAATTCACCAGGAAAATGGGACTGAAACTGGCATAACTTAATGCCACTTCACTGTAAATACAAGTCCGTGCTTCAGTCATACATATTTCTCCATCCTGTTTCTGGGAGTGGTTTTACAGGCCGTGTTAGGATTGGGTCGTCCAAAATTAGATTGTTCCCAGATTGCCTAGTTTAAAATGAATTATGGCACTATGTGGATCATCATGCAAGCACGCTAAGACCTGAACATAACTAAATCTCATGCACAGAAATTAACAGCAGAAAATTATTGCCTGCTAGTACCTACTTCCTTAGGTCTAAGAAAAATATGAAACACTGTTACAGTCACCACAGAAATCACAGGGAGGATACAAACAGAGGAATTAGGCACACATACTCACAGAGAACTGCTGCCTTACCTGTAGCTGGTTAACTTTGGGGAAAAAAAGGGGCAAATTCTGAAGTGGCTGTGCATTGTAGTGCAATATGGGTCAGATGATATCATCCTTCCTTCAACAGCACCATCACAATCAGTGACGGATCCTTAGAAATGTTGATTCCTTATGTTTTCTCATGCCTTTTATGCCCTCATTCATTTTGTTTTCACCAGTCAATGAACATGTAGCACTTGACAATACCTCTTCAGTGGCCAGAAAACAATGTTCTGATTGTAATCTTTGGCTGCAGCTGTGGAGTGCTCCAGACAACCCACAGAGGAAAAAATCTGGCATTTCTGTGGCCACGTGTACCTGTGCTGACCATGTACCACCTGGTCACTTAGCACAGTCTTGCTGCAGCTGCCCACAGCCCCAACAAGGCAAGGTATTAAGCATGAATTTCCACAGTTTGTGGCCCATAATCTCCTTCTCCTGGCCATGATGTGGGGAATACAAGAATAGAAATGGTTACATCCAGTGGAAGGTCTCATTATCTGGAATGACTTTTCCATGCCTAATTGCTCCAATTCAGCATTCTCTAATAAGGCACATCTGCACGAGTGACTTTGTTCAGATCTGTAATGCCCTTTGGGGAAGCAAAGTGTAGGGCAGAGAATAAGAGTGGGAACTGCAGGACCCCCTTGGTACTCCCTCTGCCGTCTGGCCCCCTGCTAGAGGCTGTGCATCCGGCTGCCTTTCCTCCCCATCACATGATCTTGCAAATTCTTCCACCTCTGAAAACTTGATGGAAATAGTTTACCACCTCACAGAATAAGCCTGTAAGGCATGTTTCTCTTTGTCATGCCTGTTGAAAGCATTTTGAAGTTCCTAGTCATCTGATACCCAGCTCCTTTACATAAGGTGTGAGCTTTGCTGGGATGTTTGCTATCAGCCTGACTTCCCTCTCATCAAAGTCGGGGGGACCTTTCTGGGTACCCCACACTTCGGAAAGCAGCAGCAGAAGAGGCACTCCGAGCCTTTGCGTTACAAGTCTTGAGTTGCCCCTGCTGCATATATTCAGTGAGACCTGCCATGGAGAGCAGCTCTTCGGTTCCTCTGCACCCGCATGATGTGGGCTGATTTGAGATGCAGCCATGCTAGTAAAACGAACCCGACAGAAAAGCCTCTAATTGAATTCAGGGGTGGAATGCAGATCTGGGCAATTAAACCACGGGCACACGTTTAGTGCGGCACGCAGCCGTCGCTGGGGCGCGTAGGCAAGCGCGATGTTATGTGAGAGACCGACCAAAAAGAAAAGTATGGCAAGGGAGGAAAGTATGAACGCAGCACTCGGCAGCCACACAGCCCCTCATCAACATGCAGCCGAGGCCTCCAAGTTACGTTGTCACCTGCACAAAGAGCAAAGCACACGTTCCTCTGTCTAGATAACAGCTATCTGAGAGCGAGGACAAATCCCCTGGAAATGCAAAGGCCCCGTGGCAGAGAGGCACCGTGGCTCTAACACGAGCAGCCTGAAGTGGCAGCCATCCCTAGGCGGTCCCACAAGAGTCAGGGAAATGCTCACATGCAGCATCCAGAAACCTAACGATGGTATCAGACGCGGCAGAACAGCGAGTCACACTTGTGGCCGCGATAAGGAAGAGATGCAGCTATTTCCCTCCTGACTTTCGTTGGGTTTCCTTCCTTTAATTCCTGACCAGTTTGTGATGTGAGTGGGACTGGAGCTGTTTGCAGCACAAACGTTTCCTGGCTTTCCTCTTTTTGCATTCACACTGTCTTGCTGACAAAAACGAGGGGTTCGGCTCAGTAGGAACATCAATACACATCTTTCGTACTTGTACCAGTGGCCTAACTTGCCTGTGGCCTGAATATCAGTATCTATTGTAAAAGCTCTCACATCTACCCAAGGAGGCACTGCAAGACATTCGCAAGCAGTAGCACTGGCTCTGTTCAGCAAGACTTGCCAGTCTGCTTCCTTCTGCCTAGGAAAATTGTGTCGGCATTTCTCCAAGTCTTGCAAGTTGCCTTGAGGATACGCCATCAGTTGAGGCTGCATGACTGATCAATTCCTCCCTCTCCTCCCGTTCTCCATGTTCCAGCTTAATCTTTTCAACTGTTGGATAAAATAAAAAATAAACAACATTTTTTATTTATTTTTTTAATTCTCATGGC